AAATAGATTCTAAAATCCACCAAATTTTAGATGTACTATTTCACACTTTTTATTATTATATAGCTTGGACCTAAACTAAATTACTAAGTGTTATACACAAAAATACCCTTAGTCGATAATAATAAGCAAAAGTACAAAATTACAATACAAACAGTAGAAAAGCTAAAATTACTTACGAGCTAAATCACACAAAAATAAATGCTCTCATGATTTCTGCACAAAATATTAAGATAGGATGTACCAATAACAATATTTGCAAAGAATTTTCTGAAAGATAAGCATTTTTTCAATTGAAAAATTATACAAGGGAAATTATTTAAATCCATGCAATGATTACAATACAACATAGAAACTAACTGAGGAGGTTGATAAGTAAAGTTTTAAACAATTAATTACAAGCCTGATAAAAGTTTTAAAATGATAACATATTTTTTATCACTACAACCAACAACTACTTTAAAGACAGATGCAAGGCATAGCAAAAGCTTGAATAAAACTAATATTTTATAACAACAAACAACTAGACTTAGTGAATCATTATCTTTTGTCTTTTCTGCTATTATCAACAAATTATTGTGAAATGTATGGAAAATTTAAGTTGTTTCCCGAATTGTTTAATGTTGGATAAATTAATGGAAGTGAATTGAGGGGAGTTACCTACTAGGACCATCTCTAGAGGGGCGGGGGGGGGGGGAGGGGAACCAGCTGATATTTGAATTGAGTGAGAGAAATAATATTTTTGATTTTAAAGGCTGATTATTTCAGTCCCATTCAACAAAAAATTATATATCGCAAGGTATCAAAATTGTTAGTCAGCTTGTGAAAGGGAAATATAATGTATAAACATATCCTTGAAAAAACTTAATAGGGTTAAGACAGTACAAAAAATATTTCTAAACAACCTAACAGTTAAATTTTAAATTCACAAGAACATTTTAGTTACATTTACAACCATATAGCACATTACTGTAGGCAGCATATTATATCGTAGTTAACAATTTTAAAATTTAAAACAGTAACAAATTCAACGAACAATGAGGTAAAAATACAATGCTTACTTTTCGATGCGGTAAAATCCTAATAATAAATCGTATGGATTATTAGAAGTTAATTAATCCATGTAATAAAAAACAACCTGCATTATAAGAATCCCTAAATGAATGTAATAAGCCTAGTCTTAACAATCATTATTAATCCTAAAGCAACGTTTTTACAAGAACGGACATCTCTTGTCTTAGGTAATTTAATTTCCTAGAAACGGAGTAGAAAGCCATGATAATCGCTTACCTAGCGCATTCTGCTTCCATACCTAGGGAAATCCGGCTTAATTTTAGTACAGCCATGGTTTGCGCCACAAGTACAAAGGAATTCGTAAATTTAGGGAATCTAAAATCAGTCTAGTGGAGTCCAAATAATTCAAACTTCAATAAACCAAAACCAAAGTCATTAAGTAAATTGCTTCAAGCTCAAAAACATTTAAAATGCTTGGAGATCGGTGTAAAATAGTTTCCTGAGTATGTTATTATTAGGTTATGTGCAATAGATTGCATGGGTACAATGTTGGTATTTTAAAATCTTATAGACTCAGAAAAGTGCTTTTACGACACAAAATCATTTCGCCTTGTCACAAATACCCACTTCACACGCACAATTGGTTATGTTCAGATAGATGAAATACAATAAACTGAACTATCACACCATCTTTCACTACTTCATGTTGTTACACATTGTAGAAGGATGATTTTTCTTAACACAATCCAAATTACTAGTACCACGAGGCACTTTTTTAACAACAAAACAAGTTCATATGTTGGTATCTCTGTTTTACTTCATGATCAGCTAATATGCATTGTTGCATAGTTATCACTTATCTATGAGGTTTAGTGTTATTGGGAATTTATCGCAAATAAGACTCAACATGGTGTTTTTGCAAGCTCAAGGAGCATGTTTTGTAGAAAAATACGTTAAAAGTAAATCACTGGTTTTTTGGCAAGAGAGGTTAGAAATTACGTTTCCAAGTGTAAATCCAGTACCTATTAAATCACCTGTTTATAGATTGTCAAAAATTTAACCTTTCAAGTGTCTCTAGTTTTGGTCTTAATGTTCGCCCATTTATTGCGCAATCGCAGGGTATAGGCCTAATTAAAATGTATCTTAGAAACTTAAAAACAATGTAAAGTATACTGTTTTATATTTCATTTTGTTTGGAAAATTATGGGCTTCAATGTAACATATAAAACATTACAAAAAAAATGTTCAACAATTTTTGTAGGGTTAACATTTTTCAAAAATTATAAAATAAATTAAAAAAATTTATGTTTGCGCTCAATAAATTGTTACAATTTATCAGTCTACAAATATTTTTAAATAGCCACTTTGTTCAGAATTTTATGAGGATTCCAAAAATATAATAATATAAGGAAGTAGATTTGCAAATAAATAAGTTAGGGCAAAAAACAGATTTCGGTACATAGTGTTTAGCTAAGAATGCATAGCCTAACCATAGCTAGGAATCTGGCTGATAATTTACATCAATATCACTACCTACTCCTTCAGGATCATCAACCAGCCCTTCAAAACCACTTAAATCTTCTTATAATGCACCACGTATATCACTACTTTTGATTTTTAACACTAAAACAATGATAAACGTAATAAAACACATCAGCAGGGGTGCCCACAAGGGGGGGCTGTGACGCAGACTGCGTCATTGAAATTCTTGGGGGGGGTGCAAAAAATCAAAAGGGGGGGGGGTGGCTAACGTTAATAGCAACAGTGTTCAACGTGACTACAATCAAAAATGTATTACGAAGTCACCAGATAGAAAGTCGATTAATTAATGACATAACTAATTAGTTAATTCAGTTAGTTAAAATAGGATAGTTTAGGATTCGTGTAGGAAGTTATTATTCAAGATTAACAAGACGTGAGATCTAAGAGGGAGGACACGGAATGGCTCAACTGCTGAGATAGATAAAGATAACGCGTGGTACAGACACATCCAGCTACACCGCGACTTAGCACAGAACGCTTTTTGACATAAAGCTTGTTAAAATACAATCAAGTAGCATTGGCTACAATTCTTTACACTGTTGTGTAGATACTCGATTACCTGAGTTAATAGGGAGGGGTGTAATCAAAAATACGGTTAATCGAATATAGTATAAAAACAGATGACAAACCCATTAAAACGTTTTAAACAGCCATTAACGTCACGATTTGCATTTTTATAAACAAAATTCAATATTGCACAATCATTTATTATCATGCAATAATGATATTTCAAATTATTATATATATTCAAATTATCTTGGTTCAGTTGTACAAACGGCAACGTTTAAAATTATAGCTCACTCAAGCTCAACTAATAACTGGCCAAACACTGCATTGCTATAAATAATGTAAATATTAAACCTTAGAAAGCGTTATAAACTACTGCTCATGATAGACAGATAGGCTATCGGTAGGTGCTGTATCACAACATAGAAATTAATAGATAAGTAATAAAAAAGTGTAAAATTACATTTAGAGATAATAAAAACACTCTTAAAAAAGTATGTAACGAGAACAATCTTGTTATTCCTTTTCTTTGTTCTTATGTTCTTAATTAGGTTTCTCTTTAATTCATACACAAATTCAACAAGTCGCCATATTTAGGCCTATCATTGCCCAATCACAGCCTTACTTATGTTAGGTACCATGGTTACTAATCAATCAATCACAGTTTACTAAGCATTATATCGTCATCATTCCCCAGCTGTTTTATCTGAAATCTGTTGTAACATAGCGCACAGCAGACAGAAGTTTAAAACGGAGCAGACGATTGTTGGCGCAAGCGTTGTTTCCATTTAATTTTCATCAAAGGAGCTGTGATGTTTCCAAAGGGAGGGAGAGGGGGTCGTTATATCAAGAGAAAGACGCTGACAATACGTTAAGCAGAGGTTAAGAACGCTATACAGATATTCTGGCAATAAAAATTCCTTAAATTGAGGTGACTTATAAAACTCTAATTTTATTTATATAGAAAGATGAGTTTTCAGGTCCTACAACACTGATTCACGGACTTTTCCCGGTAATCAAAATTCAAGCACAACTTGATACACAGAATCTCCGGTTCCCGACCTGGATGATGGCTAGTTATTTAATTTAATTTACAGTTACATATTAGTACCCGTGATAAATCAAACTAGATATTTAACCCAAAGCCACACGGTTATTAATCTCACTTGGTTTTGGATTTGCTTACAAACTTGATCGGAAATGGTTACAAACGTGATCGAAAATGGTTAGGGCCTACCTACACAGTATTCGTAAACAACATTTATGTAAACATATCGGTGACAGCTAGAAAAAGGAATCTTGATCAAAACAGCTGTTCGTAATTTCATATATGACGTGTTCTCTTAACAGATTATCAGTATTTCATAAATGACGTATGTAGTAAACATAGAGAAAAAAAACTTGAAAATCACACAAAATTGGGTTTTTGATCGTCCGTTATTTTATTTCCAAAATAGTGAGGACATATTTTAATGGCTAAGGACACTCTCGCCAATCCTGTGAATACAATTAAACCATTACAATCATATTTAGTACTCTAGTTTTCTTTAGAGTAGGCTACGTAAAATGCCTTCTGGGCCGAGGCAGACAGACATAAATTGAGATAAGACATGTTTCAACTTCTTCAATGTATAAAACAAAAAAAAACCCAAAATATGGATAATTCTCAGCAATGTATAGACGAAACTATAACTTTATTTATATAGATTAACTGGGTTTGAATTTTCAATATCTAAAAAATGTATCAAACTTCTTTTAGTTTTACAAATAATGCTGGGTGGGGGAATAATGTTTCACATTTGTTGTGTCCCTCATTTATGGTGGGGGGGCTGTTGTTCAATTGGGGGGGGGGTGCGTCATGAGTCTAGGGGGGGATGGGCACCCCTGACATCAGTCATCGGTGCGAGGTTAACCAAGCTGTTTACAAATACGCACGTCAGCTGTCTGCTACAACAATTATGATCGGCTCGAGAAAAAAAAGCGCTTAGAGACAGAACTCGGGAGAAAGCTTAGAAAAAAAACGATACCTAACTCTATCCAGTTTAATCCGATTTAGTCAGTCATAGAGCCATTTACTTTTATATTATAAGTAATAACTATTATAAGTAATATTGCCATTACCAGCAACCCAACTATATCATACCCAATTGTGTGAAATTACTCACGCATAAATTTTCAATGATGGGTGTCTCTAATTTATTCAGGGGCTTAAAGATTCTAATGAGTAATCTAATTTAGGAAATGTGTCTCTTAGCTTTCGGCTGTGTAAATTTCATACTTTCAGTCTTTGCCGTAAACAGTGTTTGTGAGTGGCAAAAGCGACACAAAACACTACACAAAGTGTGTTATGAGTCGCTTTTACGACACATAACACTTGGAGGGTTAAGGAAATCAGATATATAGAAGAAAAAACGTAGACCAACAATACATAATGAGCTTGTAAAAACATCATGTTTTCATAATAATGCTTATTTCAAGAATGGTTAGGCTTGAACAACAATTTTTTATTCAGATAATTTTGGACTCCACTGTGTAATTGCTTAACAAAATGCTCTTCGTTGAAACAACCAATTAAAGTAGGCCTATTTCATTTTGTTGACACAAAATATATGGTTACCTACCTATTTTACAGTTATTCTACTAACATTAAATTGAAATTATTTCTTGTATGTAGGCCAACCAGATTGAATTGAACAGCAAAAGATGTTAAAACGAATCCTAAAATATAATTACCCCTCAACATTACCTCTTAGAGATCATACTTTGCCCCAAATAGCCTAAATATATATTTCCAACATATAAAAAATAACATGTTTTTCACACAAAAAATCCTAGATACAGTAACAATACAAGACAATATTTACCATTTTCACTAGCTCTGAAAATCCAGCACAGGAAACCACTGTTAACCGATTTCCAACAGAACAAAAAACCACAAATCTTTGCAAACCCGAGGGTTAAATATCTGTCGATTGTGACGACTAGAGAGTTACAGCACCTCGTAGCGAGTAAAATACAGCTATAATAAATCTGCTATAAAAATAGTTTGACTATTTAACAATACAACGTGTTTACCAAAGAAAGGCATCGACTGCAGCATCACGACGAAAGATCACAATGAGAAAAGGCAACGAGTGGCTTGCGTAGCTATCAGTCCGTCGCGTCTAATGCTCCGATTTGTTTCTGATCAATCTCCCTGGCAGTGAGAGGAGTGCCTTCGAACCTCCTGAGGTGAATCTGAAACGAATTTCCGACAAAAATTTTTTACAGTAATTAATTACGATTTGTAGTTTAAAGTACGTAAAATAAATGCTATTAGGTATTTTTTATTCCCAAAAGAGTCTAAACTAGGCTTACAAGATAGAAATAGAAAGATTCCTATAATGTGGAAATCTAAAACTAGTTAAAACCTGGTTTATTTAAATGATAGTTAACAGAGTAAAAATGTATCTAGCAAGTTAAGTAATTGGTATCTTTGACCACTGATAAAAGTAAGCAACCAGTAAGCTTTAGTTAGTGTAAGCTTTAGTTAGAGCTATAGTCAGAGTTAAAATAAAAATGAACCTAGCTTAATAAATGAGCCTCTGACAAAATACACTAGTGTCAATTGCTGATTCGATACACCAAAATTGTAATGAATCGAAACTCAAAGGAAAACTTTCAACAAAAATTTGCAACAGCTAGTCCATGTAGATGGAATGTCAAGGTATCCAAAAGTGAAAAGTTTTTACTTGGTTGCGGAAGTCAAGATTAATTATTTTAGTATATTCTTAACCTACAATATATTTGGAACACTATAGCTAAGTGATAAAATATGTGACACTACCTGGAGATGGAGGTTGATTTCATCGCTTCGACTCAAATACGGAAAGTTTCCGCCAGTTTTCAAATGGGCAAGTTTGGCGTTGGGGTAAAACTTGTAAATTTCTTCCCGAACAGGGCTGGAGAGTGCGTACTCGTCAAACACATCGATGATGGTGACATGCTCGATGTACCTCAGTTTGTGCGGCTCCACATACGAAGTGACACAGTTAAGCGTCAACCGGCTGGCCAGGTCTTGCTGAGACAGGCTGTCCAACTGTCGAAACAAAAATTACCACCGATAATTGATAAATAAAAGTATTGCTGTTACAGGTTGTCCAACTGTCCAACCTCCAAGCTGTAAGCCTTTATATCTGCCAATACTGCACAGATCACCTAACAAACACTGTTCACGAGTTACATTTCAGACTTCGCTGCGGGAGGGGCGTGTTTGAGTCCCGGCGCGCTGTAATATTACATGTCATTCATTCATCATTAACATTAATTTCTCTTTATTTTGTATATTTTCTCTCACAATGTCTGTTAATGCCCCTGATAATGTGTTATCGGTTATTTAATATGTTCCTCTTGTTAATGTGTTATTTTATCCAATTGTGTTCAATGTTATATAATATCCCATCACCCCACAGAAACATCATCATATTTTACGTTACAATATAATATTTATCCAAATTCTCTCCATACCTATTAATTACTCATCAAAAACCAACAATAATCATTTATTTAGAATGATATATAATTGTAAGAAAATTGCAATATATTAATAACATCTTAAATATAGTATCACTTTTCAAAATTATCCAAAGAAAATCAAAATTACTGTGGCAAGTGTCATTCATGTAAATTAACCAGCTGTACATCACTTCAACAATGGACATGGACTTCCTGAGCTTCTACCATTGCCTCTCCCCAGATCCTGCCAACTCTTCACAGTGTGAACATCATTCTATTGGATATTGTGTGATTTAAACTAAATTCATAATCCTAAAGTATTATATTTTAAATTTCTTATCATCCAAAAGTATTGGACAAGTGCATTGAAGAGTACCAAATTTTAAGAAGACAGACACTCCAAATTTGGTAACCATCATTCATCTTATTTAACTAAGGACAAATTTAATCTTCATTGGACATTTGATCAGCATAGCCTAATAGACCTAATTAACTTAACTCATCAAGACATACATATTTCAAATTGAACTTTTATTCAAAATTTAATCTTCAAATTCTATTTTATTTCATTAAATTCAGTGAAACCATTTGGAATCTTTCTTTGGACATCAACATATTAGCCTATATTAATAGCATCACGAACCTAGTATTTCAGAATAATAACTAAATTAAATTAGGCCTATCTACATTTTAAAGAAGCCTGATATATCATTCGAACCGGCACGACCACCCCTCCCTGAGATTAAGAGGTCATCTATTTGAATATTAATTAGTACTTTAGAAGAAACCAGCCCAATATAAGCCTAGAGAATCTTTTATCCACTTTGGAACCCCACCATTTTGAAAATTTACCATCATTGTTAACTTACCCTGTAGCTAATTCAACCAATAACTTATCTTTTGTATTTCATTAATAAATTATATATTGTAACATACCAAATCTCTTTATTCAATAATTCATATAGGCCTATTATAAGATTAAGATAAAGACTTACCTTATTAGACAGAAACAAAACACAAATTAGGAATTATCTTTATTAAGAAATAAAAATGACTTTCAGTTCAATGTGGGCTAACTTAATAGCCAAAGGAATTTTGTAGGCCTAAGTTAATGAATAGCCTATAGAAAGCTTTATGGTGTGTAGCAAATTTGGCGACCCAACGTGTCGGCTTTCGAATGATATATTACGGTAGTCATAAAATATTGCAATTTTCGATTTAAGCTAAGTTAACCTTAAGTTGTACTAGATTGTAAGAACCCATAGCCTATTGTACGTCCCGTAATTAATATTCCCAACCACAATAACAACACAAAGCCGTTATACAAAACACTAACTAATCACGCACAATTCGCATAATTAGTACAATAATTAATCATGGCCGAGAAAGGTTATAATTTAAGACCCAACCGTAAACATTCTAACCTAAACCCAAATTACGACTACAACAACACTGACAGCGAGAGCGAGATTGAAGAAGAAGGTCGCCATTTTGATGACATCACACGCACGGACACAGAACAAAAAACACATCCACAGCAGACATCAGAACTCACAGAGGAAGAGAGCAACGAGTCCATGGACCAATCAGACACTAGTATCCCCATTCCTACAAGTCTGTTTGCAAATGTTGCCACTGAACTGTCCAGTAAACAAAGTCTGAATGTTTCCCAAATGCCAGGTGATAGCCAAGGTCACATTAGCGGATCAATAACTCAGACACCCGCACCCGAACACAGCCGATCGTTACCGAATATAGCCGACGCCGACGAACGTCACCCAGACCTAACAACACGGCAACGGAACAACCCTAGTGCAACTGTCGGTGCAACAGCAACTGTCACATCAACACTAATTGCACCATCAGATATTAATACTTTAATTGCCCTCATGACTAAACTAGACACTAAATTGAGCAACAAAATTGACGAATCCCATGCTAAAATTGACAGCAAAATTAATGAATCCCATGCTAAAATTAACAGTAAAATCAACAGCAAACTCAATGAATTAAAAGTTGAACTCACTCAAAGCTTCAATGATAAAATTGATGCTAATAGCCTAGAAATTCAAGCTTGCAGAAACGCGCTAGAAACTCAAATTTCAGAAAATCGTGAAAGTCAAAATAAATTCCAGATCGAAATAAACTCAATTAAGATCACTCAGACAACACAAGCTGAGGAAATCATTAAACTTAATGAGAAACTCACACAAAAAATTTATGAATCACAAGATCAAATGAGACAATTCGTCATTGATAATCTCACACAACAACAATCAATATCTGATAATAAAAATCAACAGAGACAAAATGACATCTTATCTGCTGTCAAAACACAATTGGTAATGCATGAACAGAATTTTGACCAAAAAATTGAAGAACTTTCTCAACGAACCAGGCAAGAATCCGAACAGAATTCTAAAGCTAATTTGGCTATTATACAAAACAAAATTCTCCCAAAACTCACCATCCAAAACAAAACTTTAGAATCTCAGCAAGCTGAAATAGAAAATTTAAATCACAATCTAATAAAATGTGAACAAGAAGTGGAAACCCTCAAACAGAGCAAAACATTTGAAAACTTCCAAGGCCCAATCAAAATTATATGCAATGGAAATGAAGAGAAAGACCGACAACTACCAAAATTCAACGGCCGAAGTGGCAACCCAAAAGAATATATTAATAAATTGAAAAGATATTACGACAGAGGACTTGAGCGAAACAGTAATAATGACCCGATTGAATATCTCAAAGACCTGCTAGAAACTTCATTCGAAGGTCCCGCCTCAAGATGGCTACAACTTGTAAAGACTGACTTAAGTTCCTGGGAACAATTTTCCAACGAATTCGAAGCTAAATACTGGTCAAGAGAAGTACAACGCAGCTTAAGAGCCAAAATCGAATCAGAAAAATACCGGTCAAATGGTACCCTCAGCCGCAGCGAATACCTTACAGAACGTGTAATTTCACTCCAATCTATGAGCCCTTGCCTAACCGAAGAAGAAATTGTGACACTGATGGCAGAGAGATTTGACTCCATCATACAAGACTGCATCAATGTACAAAACATAACCACCGTACGTGCATTAGAAAGACTTCTACAACGTGAAGACCTCAAAGACGGACCAAAGAAGACACGCACCAACAACCAGAATCACAACAGCTCATCCAACAACCGACCGACAACTCCAAATCAACAACCACACATTTATCATCAAAACGGCCGCTACGAGAATCAGAGAGCGTACCAACCCAAGATACCTTCATATCACAACAATCCATACAACAACAATCACCAACACAGAAATTATCCAAATCATCAAAATTACCGTCCTAACTACAATCATCCTACTTACGACCGAAACCATGAAAACAAACCATATCAACGAGACAAATATCCTCCTCGTAACGGTGACAACAACCAACGGACCTACAGAAACCACCCAACCCAAGAACAAGCTCAGCTTTGCGCAGTAATGAGACAAAATAACTACGTGCCAAGTGCTCCTCCAAACAACCAATCATCACACAGTTACGAGCCACAGACTCATCCTGCACCAAATATACAGGAAAACGGTTCGGCGCTGTAAGCGACAACCGAGAGGGTCAATTATCATTAGTTAACTCTAAAATTACAGCGCCTATTTATGAAAGTCTCGGTAATGAAATAAATCATCTTCAATCCCAAAGTATAATGTGCGATAAGAACTTCTTATTAGAAAATGATTCAGAAAATAATCAATCTCTAAATTTCACTCAAATAAGTTGCCCAGAAATTAGCATCAAACTTAATAATATTAGAGTAAACGCATTAGTCGACACTGGTTCATCAATAACTTGTATATCAGAATCCTGGTTCAATGAAAACAAATCCAAAATTTCACCATTTGAAGAATTTCCAGTTAATAACACAGTAATCAAAACTGCTACAACTGAGCGATCTAAAAGAGTCTCTCGAATTATTTACGTTCCCACCACAATTGCAGAACACACCTTGCCATTGGAATATCTTATTGTACCAAATCTAATAAAACCTATAATACTAGGAGTAGATGTTTTGTCTAATCTTAAAATGGATCTGAATTTCAACACAAATGAAATAGATATGCAGATAAATAATCACAATGTTACTTTGAAGTTTTGTATGTGCAACCAAGAGGGACAAATATGTCACTTAATAGTTAATGATAGCCATAGGCCAAATAATGAATATTTTAATGATGAAACGTTTGATGTATATCACGATGATCCAATATATAATAAATTTAACAGCACAATAAATAACTTCAAAAATAGAAAAACAGATCCAATCGAAGACGAAACATTGACCCAAGAAGAAATAGAGTATTCCCTAGCAACATATACGTACATAACCGCAGAAGAACGTGAAACATTAAGCAGTTTATTAAATAAATACCAACTAAAGAAGACGAAGATGTTTTATACGGCCCCTACCATATATCAGCCCTCAAGAAATATTTGGAACCAACCCGAGCAATAGAAGCTGTGATCGACGAGATAGATAATGATGACCCTACCTTCGAAGACATTCTATATCAATAAATTTCATAATGTGTTTCATCCATCAACAGACTTTTGTGCATCATCATCTCTAACCAAATTGTGCCATGGACCTTAATCGCGAGTGCGTGACCCCATAAATTGTGTTTTCCATAAACTGATACCCAGGTGATAAAGTTTATAAACAATACTCACTTACTAATAAACTGTGATCTCCTTAATAACAAAGAAACGATAAAGTTATCTGATATTGAACAGTATGGAACAGCCATAATATCCCTTTCTTCCCATGTCAGGCCATGAACACTCTATTCTATTTTCCCCATTTTAATTTTATTGTCTTACATATTTGTTAACTTAGATTATAATTTTGTTGTATTATCACTCAATGTTCTATCATCCAGAAAATCAATCATTTAATGTTATTCATGCCTATCTTTAAGTATCATTCATATTAATGATTCATGATTCCATTTCATATTTTGTCGAAATCTGTATTTCATTTCATAGCATACAGATTTCTGTGGGGATAATTTGTAATATTACATGTCATTCATTCATCATTAACATTAATTTCTCTTTATTTTGTATATTTTCTCTCACAATGTCTGTTAATGCCCCTGATAATGTGTTATCGGTTATTTAATATGTTCCTCTTGTTAATGTGTTATTTTATCCAATTGTGTTCAATGTTATATAATATCCCATCACCCCACAGAAACATCATCATATTTTACGTTACAATATAATATTTATCCAAATTCTCTCCATACCTATTAATTACTCATCAAAAACCAACAATAATCATTTATTTAGAATAATATATAATTGTAAGAAAATTGCAATATATTAATAACATCTTAAATATAGTATCACTTTTCAAAATTATCCAAAGAAAATCAAAATTACTGTGGCAAGTGTCATTCATGTAAATTAACCAGCTGTACATCACTTCAACAATGGACATGGACTTCCTGAGCTTCTACCATTGCCTCTCCCCAGATCCTGCCAACTCTTCACAGTGTGAACATCATTCTATTGGATATTGTGTGATTTAAACTAAATTCATAATCCTAAAGTATTATATTTTAAATTTCTTATCATCCAAAAGTATTGGACAAGTGCATTGAAGAGTACCAAATTTTAAGAAGACAGACACTCCAAATTTGGTAACCATCATTCATCTTATTTAACTAAGGACAAATTTAATCTTCATTGGACATTTGATCAGCATAGCCTAATAGACCTAATTAACTTAACTCATCAAGACATACATATTTCAAATTGAACTTTTATTCAAAATTTAATCTTCAAATTCTATTTTATTTCATTAAATTCAGTGAAACCATTTGGAATCTTTCTTTGGACATCAACATATTAGCCTATATTAATAGCATCACGAACCTAGTATTTCAGAATAATAACTAAATTAAATTAGGCCTATCTACATTTTAAAGAAGCCTGATATATCATTCGAACCGGCACGACCACCCCTCCCTGAGATTAAGAGGTCATCTATTTGAATATTAATTAGTACTTTAGAAGAAACCAGCCCAATATAAGCCTAGAGAATCTTTTATCCACTTTGGAACCCCACCATTTTGAAAATTTACCATCATTGTTAACTTACCCTGTAGCTAATTCAACCAATAACTTATCTTTTGTATTTCATTAATAAATTATATATTGTAACATACCAAATCTCTTTATTCAATAATTCATATAGGCCTATTATAAGATTAAGATAAAGACTTACCTTATTAGACAGAAACAAAACACAAATTAGGAATTATCTTTATTAAGAAATAAAAATGACTTTCAGTTCAATGTGGGCTAACTTGGTAGCCAAAGGAATTTTGTAGGCCTAAGTTAATGAATAGCCTATAGAAAGCTTTATGGTGTGTAGCAGCGCCCACAAATAATATGGGTTCAGAACCCAGTTACCGCTTTCCCAAAAATGTTTGATAACCACACTTTCTCTTCTCCTATAAAAAAATCCCAAAAAACTCTACAATGGAGCAAAAAAGAAATACATCTGCTGTAAAACTGCAATGAATGTTAATTCCTGTCACAGTAGTGATGTAGTTATTGGCTTCAGTGCGTATTGCTAGAGTAACTTTGCAATTCTTATAGTACACAAAAATCCAGTGGAAATATTGGCTGGGAAATGTTCAAATGATCAATTGCAGGTTCATTCAGCTCTTTCACTTTCACTAGCAGCCACCTGTATTATGTATTGTTCTTTAGTAATTTTTCCAAGACTGAATAAAAACAGTTACGTTTACCATTTGTGCTATTATCTGTCTTAAAGAGGAAAATAAGATAGATATGACTTTTCACCTAACCTCGCAATCTTCTTGTAATCTTTTTAATTTTCTATATTGAACTCATAGTTATACCTATAATCCTTATATTGGGACAAATCACCTGGCATTTTTCAGTTTAGCATTTTGAGTAAATGACCAGACCCCCCCCCACAATTATTTCCAGGGTGTGCCACAAGTCTTGTTAGTTGTTAGTGTTGTTACTAATATTTCCTGAATTGAAAACAACTAATTCTTTTCAGCGACATTGCGAAGAAAACGGACCCTTTAACACTTTTAACCGAAGATTGGTGCTGTGCAAATGATGGATTTGCTATATAAATTTGTATTGAATATCATTACAGTAGATCTCCAATCATCGGAATTGATTGTGGCCATACAATACCACTTTCGGATGGTAGGAATTCATATAGTTTAGGAAATTTTAGAAAAAATTGTGGTATTTTAGTTGCTACAGTATTTACATTACAATGATTATGCAATTAAAATATTAGCTGCGATTGCTGAGGAAAAGATGACAGTGTATTTGTGACCATGGTAGAAGACAAAGATGGAAGGGCTAGAAACATGGTTTTCAATTTAATTACTTGCAAAACAACTAAAACAAGTGTATAAATATTGCCTGGAAACCCCAAGAACATTGACAGGAACTAACACAGATAGAATTGCCAATCATTCCCCGATAAATATAAGGAACTCTCACTCACTTACATAGAAAATATTGATTGTTCTTCCTTTGTATCTAAAACAAGATTAGGGTTTCAATCTTATCTGTTTCTACTGGCGACAATTATTCAATATTTTCAAAGTACTTAACACAATGTTTCTTGACTTTGGTGATCAGATGGGAATCAACATATCAAAAGAAGTTACGTACAAAACAACACTTAGAAACAAAAACGGAAAAAAATTTCCTACAATATGTGGCTATTACCATTTTTAAAACGGAAAATTGTTCCAACAGTTCTAAAAATAGCGAGTAAACTAATAACAATTTAGTCTCCATTAGTTCCAGATTGAGTTGACCCTAAAGTCTTATCAATGCTGATAAAAGCTGCTTCGGAGAAATCCCTTGCTCACAAAACACAGTTGTTTGTTTAGACGATCAAACAAAAACATTGTACAGTTTATTGAAGCATTTTAAAAACGTTTTTATATCCAAAACGTGGAGATCTTTGATGACCAAAATAAAAAAAATGTGGTTCGTTTGGCCTGATTAAAATATGACAAAAACATACTACCTACTCATGTAAATATGTTAGCATATAGTATGTTTAAATTGACGAGCATAGTTACTTGACTTCAAAGATGAATATAAAAGTTTGCATGTGATGTTAAGAATATAACTCTGATATTCTTATATTGAACTTAAGAGTTAATCGTTATCAAAATTTCAAAATTTAATTCAGATAGTTGTGCTGTTCAAATGCAGGAAAGTAGATCATTAATGGGTACAAATAAACTATTAAATTTGGTCACAAAATCATATATTTATCAGTAATCTCAGGAATAAAATATACAACTTCTTCCACTGAAATCCACAAGCAAGAATCTAGAGCACCCAAATAAATTTTCAATATTGTAGTTCTTTTTGTAGAATCAGCATCAGTAAACAAGCAACAGCAATCAGTCCCAGGAAAGGATTGGGGACGACGACCCCCCCCCCCCCATCACAACCGAAATAGTGGACCATATTTTTTGTCTGAACGTTTTAACATTTTACTGAGGAAAAGAGGAGCACCCCCCCCAAATAGAATACTGAGACCAGCACTGATATACATTAATCAATTGGATTTAAAAAAGAAAGGGGATATGGTTCGAAACTGTCTACCCTCTTGCTTAACTTATCTTTTAGTAAAAAATTAACCAACGTTAAAATATGACAATTGTTGAACCATTAAGTCTAACAACTGCAGATACCCTGAGACTATTAACATGGACTTACCCGTTCTACCATGAAGTCGACGGATTCTATTATCCGAGGATCAGCGTGTTCAGCGGTGAAGTTTCCCATCACCATCTTTTTTAGAAGCAGAGAAGGCAACATCCAAAATCTACAAGCAAATGAAACTATTACAGGCAAGAAAAATGATCTAAATCAACAAAGTGACATTCAAAATACTCGAGCCATTAAAATGAACCAGGACTGACAGCTTTCAGATCTACGTCGATAAATGTAGACTTGCAGAAAGGTATAGCCGGGTAGATGAGTAAATCCAACACTCGCCTAGTAATTGAGTCGGTAGTTGAATCCTGAGAAAAGTCAGAAAATGTCTAACTGTTCAGAGCTGGACTCAGCAGTCATTAGTCAGTAACAAATCAAGTCAGTTGGTCAGTGGTGAGTTAGTGGCTCACTTGGTAGCATCACGGAATTCGGGCCCAAGGCAGCAATGTCATGGGTTCGGATCCTGGCCACTACCACAAACATTTTATCAGTACAGTTCACCTTTGTACTGTACCGGCTCACCCCTTGCTTTGCTGGATACGTTCCACGCACATATCTGTAGTCTATGTGGACGGACAAATGGAAAGTTAAAAGAGGTCACCAGCCTCTTAAAAAAAAAAACAATGATTCCTATCATTTAACACTCATCCTCGCCTTAACCATTCCGGATCGGGTTAAATAGCCTAGTGCAGGCAAAAAATGAAAGACATTGATTAAAATTTGGGGATCTTTTCACACAATTATACTCAAAATAAGTGTAAAACACTTCTTCGTACATAAATAACTATTGTAATAAAATGGTATAGGCTACATTCATTGCTTTTAAAGGAAGAGTAAAAATATGAATGATGGTTTGTAGGCGTCATAAATAGAATCTGTCAGCAATTAGAAAGCAAATTTCTTTGAGAATTCATTTTAATAGCAATGCACTGTTTAAAAATCAATAGATAATTGAAAAAGTTTCTAGTTTCTAGCCAAGGATGTCTACTTGTTTCTATTCCAAATTCATACACAATTGGGTCACAAGGGGGTTTCTGATGTCAATTACAGGTTTCTGTCGTATACGACAACTTCTTAACCCAGTCAAACTGAACCGATAGGACGACTTATTAATCAGCATCTTTAATGTCACTTCAACTAAGTTACTGTACAGAAATCAAAGGTAAATATAGGCCTAGAATTTAAGACTGTTTGTAGTGGTTCTGTGAGTGACTCGATGCACGATGCCTGGCCACTGCTAGTGGCGTGAACAGCTAATGTGCTGCATGGATGTGTGCGCAAAAACGTTTAAATTTAGTTTCTTCCAAATGAGATGCATATACTGCATGCCAGTCATTGTAGACGTTGTTTTACAAGAACCCAACAGATAGCAGCACTAAACAATACTGCTAGCCGGCCCTCAGTATTACCAAGTGGAGGGAAAAAGCAGGGGTAAAATATTCGGATACACCATAAAAAAATACCACAAAAAGGCTGCCAAGCACAACTTTAAGGTTAGGTTCCATCCACAATGCTACAGTACATTCATTATCATTATTCTATTGCATATCATTAGATCCAAGCCTAAACCCCAGACTACAATAATTTTTAACAATCCTTACCACCGATAAAATAGTAGGATCTGAAAACAAATTTTACCAGATTGAAGTATAAAACTGGCGAGCGAAACAACGCCTCACGGCAGTTTTTAACCTCACACTGGAACAATAGTTTGTAAACGGCACTTTGACGAGTATACACTGGAAAGCACTAGTGGTGAAGAGATTACTTTATCATTCACAGTGAACGTGTTGATTAAACAACAGGCTACAGCTGGTTCACATAAAAGTCTACTTTACCATCTTGTTACTTACACAGCTGCAGACTCGTTGTATGTGAAGACGGAAGTGTCGACAAACGCGTTACACAACACAAGGGAGGCAACTCTCGGGTGGTTAGCAGTGTACTCGGCAAACTTCTGGGCCAGAAACCCACCTGCGATAACATATTATATAAATACTCATGTATATACATAATTTTACAGGTTAAAACTTTAAAGGTGTATTTGAAGACAAATAGGCCTAGTTGGATAAATTAGCACTTATTTGTCTTAGAACACTAGGCATGAGCCCGGGATTGTTTTTCACATTACTACAGGCTAGACCTAGGAGTTGCGGCATTATCACTTAGATAAAATCCATTTATGATTTTGCGGGATTTGAACCTAGGAACTCTTGGACCGAAGTCCTGTGCTCTAACCACTAGACCAGCTCACTCCCAACACATTAATACTTAACAAACAAACTTTTTAAAACTAAAGAGAACACTTTTAGAATAGTACTGTAATACAAAAAGATGTGGTTGTTAGCAAAATAAATATTTACAAACAAAATTTTAACAAATCTACAGATTAATTATTTTTAGCTTATTTCAAAGTTTGTAATATTATTTCAAATGTGTAATAGAGTAAAAGATTTATTCCAAAAATATGTGATGTATCCACTCTTTAAAAAATAAGTGTTTAATTAGCCTAGTATTTATGAAAAGTAAATTGTGTTTTGGATATACATATTGTGAAAGTGGCATCTATTATTGATCACAAAGATTTTCACAAAAAAAATATAAATCAATCAAATGCAGCCAAATCTCAAACAGACTTTTCCTAAAATACCGAAAGTTGGATGACCTTAAAATTCTTCTCCAACTGGTTTCATGAGCCAAGACAAGCCTGGATTACATAACTCTTATGTCAGTGAAATGGAATAAGTTGTATGTTGAAATATAAAACACCCCCACCGTAGCAATCCTGTAGACTAAACAAATTTCCATTTGCCTGATTGGATTTTCCCTTAAATATTATGACAATTTCATTATCCATATAAATAGCATATTAGGTTAAACAATTAGCCTACTTAGGTTTGCTTCTACAGAAAAAATATGTGTTTTTAGTGAAATTTGTATAGCTTAGGAATAGGATGAAATAAACCAATTTGCCAATTTAGATCAGAATACATATAGGGTGATTCATAAAAAAGTAAATTTAAACAGTTTACTTATTCTCCATAAAAATAACTTGGGAATTTTAAATTTACAGTGCCTAGTGCCTATTATGTTATTTTCTTCGTACCATTTAACGTACAACAATGCCTCAAGATCAACAAAATGGCTTGGTGAAAAAATTGTAAAATTTTATGTTTTGTGTGTGAAAAATGGGAAAACCAATTTTTACACCATAAACCGGGGATACAACCGGGGTTCCTATGCTGGTCATGCTCCTATGGTCATGCTGGTTTGTGAACTCGTTCAAATTAATGTTGGTTTATACGTTTTAAATCAATTTCATCAAAATTGGATGAGTTTTATCTAAGTTATTGTGTTAACGGACATGGGATTTATATGAATTGGAACTGATGGTGGTTTTGGCCTTTGGGGATATCAAAATGAAAAAGTAAATGGGACTCGCATCTAGGTCTTACCATCACAAACACAGTACCTAATAGCTTATTTCCTTATATGAGAAATTTTTTGATACTAACTTTTTCTTGCGATTTATAGCCCAGCGGGTAGCAACAGTTTTATTCTGTACGCCCACTTACCCAAAGACGCTCCAAACAGATGGATCTTGTCCAGTTCCAAGTGGTCTATAAGCTTCTTGAATCCTTCACACCATTCCTTTACTGTCCAATATACAGGATGTTCTGCCTTCAAATACACAAATACGTAAATGTAAAACTTTACACTAAACACATACAGCCTATCGTGTGATGTATTTTCAGCAAGCAGAGCACTGGGCTAACTAAGAGGCAACTTGATTAACCGTGATTCACAAGAATAGTGGATAGTTCCGATGTCTTTAATTTCTTTTTGGGGAATTTAGACATTCCAGCCTGATGTTGAAGTTGTTGCCATTTTTTGAATAATAATTATCATAGTTAAAATTAGTTCAGGCTCAGACCGGTCCGCCGGTTTCAATAAACTCATAACCCGACAATTTTGTCTTTTTAAAAAGCCTAATTAGTAAATATTTTATTAATGCGTAATTTATATAAGGCGTTCCAAGAGCATTGGGGCATAGCAAATAATGATAAAATCACACCCTCCGTTAGACTTAATGGAAGAAACGTAACCTATAAAAAATCTAGCCATAAATGACCAAGTATGTTCATACAGTTTCCTAGCAAAAAAATAGCTCAAATAACATTTTTCAGACTATTTTTTTATAATTTCACGGGGAAGAGACCCCAGAGGCCCCTCTCTCACTGGGGAATAATCCAGACCTCCCGGAGCTAGAGCCATATGATTTTCACCCTCTTTTAAGTGAAAGGCAGCACTCTTTTAGGGGTTCCAGTCCTGATTGAGTTACCGACAGACTGTGCTGATTTAAATTAATACTGTTATCTGTTGAAAGCGCCGCTTGTTAACCAAGACAAACTAATACTTCTAGAACATCCTTATATTTCTGAAGAAAAGTTAAGCTTTGGCAGAGGGAAGACCACCATAAGTACGGAAGGGACCTCAAAAAGCTATGGCCGAGCTTGAAGAGCCACCTTTTCCTACCCTGACAATTATGGCAACGTTAATTTTTAAGGAATAAATTCTATCTAATCACCATACAAATATTTGATTGGTTTTAGTTGATTTGTATTGGTTTTAGTTGTGTATAATGTGATGTACAGTAGTATTTTAACTCATGTATAGTGACGGTCAAAGATGAAAACTACAATAGTATCAGATAAGTAACATAAAACGACTTACCTATAGCATTTTAACAAAAAACTACTTTGTAAAAAAACTGAGGCAAAAACTAGAATTTTAGTTTGTAGAGCACTCTAATGACTCAATCTACCATGTCTTTTAAATACAAACATTTTCCACAGCTGGTCCATATAGATGGAATGTCTACTACGGAATCCAAAAGCCAATGTTAATACTGAGTAAGATAACTTACTAGCCTATTGCATAGGATACTTACAGAAATAACTCTATACCCTTTGGCACTTAGGGCTAAGATTTGTTTAAAGTAAACATCAGCTGTTCCGCTAGCAGGTGGGAGACAGACCAGGGGAGTTTTCACAGTCTTGGGTCCAGAATCATAGATTATCCAACCCTGAAAATTTCATTAAATTAACTAAAAATGCCAGTAGTTAAATATTAAAGAATACATACAAGACCAACCATCTAATTATAACAACTAAATAATGACTACAAATTTATAGGCTACTAGCTGTGTGCCTGTTCTATGGACGAGGATCTTGTATTCAGTTGAAAAATTATTATACCCTATTCAGTTTAACGGATTGCATATTAAGTGTGCAGTTTTCCAGATATGCTTGCAAACCTATTATAGGAATAGGTATACTCACAACTTAGAAAACACAATATCTGACAGTTTAACCCTCCAAGTGTCTCTAGTTTTGGTCTTAATGTTCGCCCATTTATTGCGCAATCGCAGGGTTTTATTAAAATGTATCTTAGAAACTTAAAAACTATGTAAAGTATACTGTTTTATATATCATTTTATTTGAAAAATTATGGGCTTCAATGTAACATAGGCCTATAAAACATTACAAAAAAAATGTTCAACAATTTTTGTGGGGTTAAGATTTCTCAAAAATTATAAAATAAAATGAAAAAAATGTATGTTTGCGCTCAATAAATTGTTATAATTTATAGGTCTACAAATATTTTAAAATAGCCACTTTGTTCAGAATTTTATGAGGATTCCAAAAATATAATAATATAAGAAAGTAGGTTTGCAAATAAATAAGTTATGGGCAAAAAACAGATTTCGGTAAGAATGCATAGCCTAACCATAGCTAGGAATCTGGCTGATAATTTACATCAATATCACTACCTACTTCTTCAGGATCATCAACCAGCCCTTCAAAATCACTTAAATCTTCTTATAATGCACCACGTATATCACTACTTTTGATTTTTAACACTAAAACTATGATAAACGTAATAAAACACATCAGCCATGGGTGCGAGGTTAACCAAGCTGTTTACAAATACGCACGTCAGCTGTCTGCTACAATATTTTCGGAACTAAAATGAAAAGCGTATAGAAACAGACATCAGGAGAAAGCTCTGAATCTGCTGAAAAAAACGATACCTAACTCGATCCAGTTCAGTCCGATTCAGTCAGTCCCAGAGCCCTCGCCGTAAACAGTGTTTGTGAGTCGCATAAGCGACACATAACACTATACAGCGGATGTGTTATGAGTTGTATTCTAACGTTTTCCGCTTTTACGACACATAACACTCGGAGGGTTAAAACCAAATGCTTTGCAATTAAATGTCACTTGGATTTAAATCTTTTTTGTTCCATTTAATAATCAATAATTAACTTAACATTAAACTGGTTCCTGGAAAAAGTATCGGTGCCAAGAGTCGTCTTCGAAATTTGGTTGTGGATAATTGGGTTGGCCTATGTATCAATAGGATATGGGCCATAGGCCTATTGGCGGTATGGTCTAGCGATAGCAGCGGTAGCCATATAAGTGACATATTGGAAAAGCGATTTTACTTGATACAACAGCATTCGAAACGCCGTTAATGAGTGGAAACCTAGGCTGTAGGCTTTTGGCACTGATGATTTAAAAAATGTATGCTTCCCAGTCCTGTACAACACTGATTCACAGTCTTTTTCCCGATTTTCAAAACTCAAGACAACTGGTCTAGCTACAGCACACGAGATGTGTAATACAGAATATTCAGTTCCCAACCTGGATCATAGCTAGTTATTAAATTAAATTTACAGTAACGTATATTATTGTAATTGCAATCTAATGTATGCGATTTAATAGAGGTCTAAACGTGACAGCTAGAAAAAGGAATCTTTATCCAAACAGCTGTTTGTAATTGTAAACCATGAAAAAGCTTGACTTTACTCAGGATCAAACTGGCGACCTTTTAATAGTTAGGCGAGCACTTAACCACTCAGCTATCCAGATGTTTATAAACCTAACTTTAACAGGACAAGCTAGTGCTTTATAGTAGGTACCTAAAGCCTTATTGTTATGCACCTTACTATGCATAATAATTTCTGTGTTGTCCTCTTGTTAACCCTAATCTAAAGAATACTTTAGACTAGGGTCATATAAGTTACTACTAAATTAAATCAACCCATCTTAATTAAAATTGTACTTACCCTGCTGCTTGTATCCACTACAATTTTTTTTAAAGGGATACTACTTCTAAAACTAATATATTCTTGGGACTTGGAAATGTCCACAAAAAAGGCCATTTCAACATAGGACCTAAAAACTAAACTAGGCCTTAAATTGTCTTTTAATGTTGGACTTGACTTAATGAAGAAGTATTTAATAGGCCTATTGTATATTTTTATGAATTAAGTAACATTCGCGCCTTGCCGAAAATTGACGAAGACAGTTTTAAACAAAAGTAGTTGACATTGACAGAAACAGGCTATCTTTGATGACAGATCGCTCTCTCACTCTCTTCTCTCCCTCTCCAGTCTCCACAGTCCTCACTGCTTCTGCTTCTCTTTCCCTGTTTTCTTTTCTCTCTCTCTCTAAGGAGACACACGAGACAGTACAGTAGGAGTTAGTAGTGTGTAGACCATTGATCTCTATATTATATAGAGATCTATCTTGTAGACACTTAAGACAGCCAGCCACCAGTCACATTTTCTCGCAAAGAAGAAGAAAGACCACAACAATTTACCACTACTACCACCACAATGCATAAAAGACATTGAGAAACTGAGATAGAAATTATGGAAATACAACTGGGTCTAGACTCTGGACCTGGAGGTGGTACTGGCACTGGCACAGCAACTCTGCTAGAAAATCAAAAGTAATTTAAATAATTTAGATGAATAATACGCGAATTAATGATGAGCTGGTGTCACAATTATGCCTATGCCATGTTATCTGTTATCTTATGGGATGTCCAGTCCAGTGCCAGTGGGGTCTGGGTCTGTCTGTCTGGCACTGGTGCTAAACATTACTTGCAACTTGCAACGTTGCCAATTCTACCAAGCCGTCACCTGAAGTTAAAGGTTGCAGTAGGTTGCCGTGCTATATATACATGGTGGAAGTAAAACCATACTATATATATATATAGGTATATATATAGGTATATATATAGGTATATATATATATATATATATAGTTCATACCATGGACAATGAAACATTCAAGACAAAACTTATTAACAGCATGCGTTCCTCATTGTTTTAAATATGATATTATTTTGTTGTTCTTGTCCATGTTATGATTTTCAGAGTTGTTATTCTTTTCTTTTAGCGAATTTCCCATATAGGGAATAAGCTATTGCCGTAAGTCTCGGTAAGACCTGGACTCGGGGCCGATTTACTTTTTCATTTTAATGTCCCTTCCCCTTAGTAGAAGCCAAAACCACAATCCGTTCAAATTCATAAACAACATATCTATAAACAAGCAAACAGTTGTAGTTTGCTTGTTTATGTATATATTTGATCAAACCTGGCAAATCTATTTATTTTATACTAAGCTATTAATATTTTACTAAAAAACACACTTTTTACCCTTCTTGTAGGCACCAAACCTAGATGCAGTACTCGTTAAACATAATGTTATTTGAATAGATTTGATTGAAAATTAAATCAGGTAAATAGAAATTCACTTAGTCTGCAGGTTTGCTGCGACGGGGGTATTTATTCATTTCTTAATTCCATTGTCTATTAAATAGATATAAATTTTTTACATCCTACTATTGTCTAACTTCATATTTAATTTATATTGTTATTTATTATATTGTTATATTTATTTCCTATTTATATTGTAATAGCTTTGTTATATTTGTTAACTTATAATCATGGTTGAAGGAAAGTACATGATCACATATCTTGTTATATTTGATATTTTTTTATGTTATGTTATTCTTCTATTATTTATTGAATATTTGATTCAAGTTGGCTGTTAATTGCTTTTAAAAATGTCCCTTTCTAACTTAAGTTATATGGTTATATCATGTTATATTACGTTTTGTCATATTTATGTATTGGATTGACCGTTGATATGAATAAATAATAAATAAATAAATAGTGGTACCACTCTAGTTAAAATAGTGTGGATACATGTTATTTTATTTGTGCCAGCTTTTCCGTTTTCTTTTCACAAATTGAAAAAAAGAACGAGAAAGAAAAGTACAAAGCAATAAAAAAAAGACAGACCGTCACGGTATTTACTCAGGGGAGGTATAGAAGAGGCTACGATGACAGCTGTGGGCTTCTTATTAGCTGAGGGAACGCCATTACCGTAACAAAACGATCATTAGTCATCGGCCTCGGTGGTCTAATGGTTAGCGTGCCGGGCTGATATGCTGAAGGTCCCGGGTTCTAATCCCGCTCGTGGTATTATCTTTTTGTCCAAGATTTTTTTATTATCAGCAAGTTTGGTTGGTTTGGTTCGGTTATGACAGTTTAATTTTATTATTAAGTCATTATAAAATTTTAGTAGAGCAATTTCTAGTTTTATTTAATAAACAGAATTATTTTTTCTATTAATAAACTTTTGTTATATTATTTCATTATCAGCAAGTTTGGTTAGTTCGGTTAGGTTATGATAGTTTAATTTTATAATTAAAAAATAATAATATTGAATTTGAGGCATTTATAATAATTTTATTTTATGAACAGAACTATTTTTGCGATTAGTAAACCTTCTTTGCCAAAGTACTCTCTACTACAGCGCTGTTCACGGAGGAATTTTGAACTAATGCCTCATTCGTACCTCCCCTAAGTCAGACCCGACCGTCACCGACGTCCGACCGATTCCGTTCCGACAGCGACATAACCACCAGCGTTGCCAATTCGAGGGTAATTTGGGCCTTCGAGGGTATTTTCGAGGGTAAAAAAGGGTATTTTGAACAACCCGAGTGCAACACATATTAATACAGTAATAATAATTAATTTATGTTCATAATTGTCATTACTCTATGGAATGTGTTGCACAGTCGTCTGATACATGATTTATGAGTGTTTGTACGATCTATTAGTAAATTAATTATACTCGTTCTGTACCCAAGGGCATCTATGCTTCCACTTACACAGAAAGCCTTGGAACTTAGAACATTTCCTGGGATACCAGCTATTTGTTTAATAGCTTCAATCTATATCTTTCTTTTCTTGAACCAGGTTAGATAGTAGTTTTCAACAGTTTAAGTTGCGAACTGTGCATTGTGAATGTGAAGGTGTTCCGGTGTTTGTTTTGTGAGCTGCTTGAATGAAAGTCAATATTATGATTTATGAAAATGAAATTGCTACGAGCATTGAGTATTCTGAAGCTGAAGTGATTTGTTAAATAAGTATTGACAAATTGTTGTGTGTTCTGTGTGCATGAATTATTTATGACATGAAGTTTTAACTGTTCACTAAATCTATTTTTTTCGGATTCCTCAAGAAACAAGAGTGATTGTTAATAAAGGCCTAGGGTAGGTTGAGCTATGTGTGAAATTGTAGAGTTTCACAGGCAATCTGTGAGAAGCTAATACACATCAGAAGTAACAGTTACCTCGGAAAGTGCTACAAAGCGCATGCACAAGCTGAGGTGCCTGTGGGTGCAGAACGTCGAGTGTAAATTATTATTCCATTAGGTTTCTGTAATTTGTTTATATTTTCAACACTTAATACCTGCATTTACCCTTGATTTGAATAAATTGTTTGAATATTCGATTTTCCAATACAAAATCAATAATTTATATTCGAAACAGGGCCTAGTAATGTAAAAGTTTCTAGTTTTGCGACGTTGGTGGTTTTCGAGAGTATTCGAGGGTAATTTTGGGCAGGACTGAGGGTAATTTGCCAAAAAGGGATTGGCAACACTGATAACCACAGAAAGGAAAGGAAAGGATTTAATAAAGGAAAGGAAAGGAAAGAAAGACTTAAATAACATAGGCGATTGTTATTGTTCATGGTTTAGGATAAGGAAATTTCTCTATAGGCTAAGGCCTAATTGATTGTTGAAAGGTGACAAATTCATGTGTTACTTGTAAAGGTAAGATGATTTATTTTCTTGTTCATATTATTTAGGCCTACACTTAACTTACTCAACCTTGCCTAAATTTCTATGTTAGACCTTGATTTGACGGGGAATCCGCCTTTACTTAATAGGATACTGCAAGTTAGCTAGCCAATGAAGAACAATTAATAATAAAGGCTTAGTATAACTTAGAACTAGGCCTAACTTAGGTCATTTTAAGAAATAGGATAAGAGTTGAAACACATGGGAGACTGAAATTAGGATCCAAGACTTTAATACTTTTTCACTAAAATGGCGACCATACAAAGTAGGCTAGGTAACTTAAGGTAGGCCTATTATATGCCAAGATAGAAAAGTGCATGGTTGTTAAGTTTGCAGATAAAGTTATGCATCCGTTAACCAGACGTGGATTAGGCGTCCGACAGTTACTGTCTTAACCTAACCAACCAAACTTGCTGGTTAAATTCTGTTCTTAAAATAAAATTATAAGTTAAATGCCAATAATCCTAACAAAAGATGGACAGTTAAGAAGAAAGGCATTCAAAGCAAAATCTTTGACAAAAAGTTCGAACCCAGGGACCCATTGCACATCAGCCGAGCACTCTATTCACTACACCACGAACACCGATGGCTGTACATCGTATCGTTGTGGTTATGGCGTTCTGGGCCCCCACAACCCGGTGACGTCACTGCCGGACGCCTAATCCACGTCCGGTTACCGGAGGTGTAGGCCCTATCCTCTATGTAACTTAAGTTAAACTTAGTGCTAACTGATGCAAATCTAGGGAATAACTTATAGCCTAGGCCTAGGCCTAAGTTAATAACAGATAAAACAACCCCCCAACTGGCAGCGTGACTATAATTTAATATTTGCGGTAAGTACCTAGGTGGTTTCTGTAGTGGCAGCGACTATAATGGTCACGTTTTTCAAGGTTACCCATGACATAGATGAACATTAAGTTTCTCACAAAGGGATCACTGTAAATTGAGCACTAAAGTGAACGAACATTTTGAGCGAAGTCATGTAACTTACGTGTCACAAAACTGACAAACATGGTAACTTAGGCTATGTTTCAAAAAATCTCAACAAGGGATATTATTTGTCTGCAAAAATAAGCGATACGTAATTAACTTACATAATTATGATCTTACAACAAAACAAATCAATCAATTGTTACCGTATGTGTTCGTGAAGTGGCAGAGCAACTATAACTTAATAGTCGTAGTCGTTACACATTTTATTCACTGAAATATATAATTATCCCATATGATAATGCACCTCATTCGAAAGTTCATGAAATTCTTGTGGCATTTAAGTCTAATTGTTTTAGATTGCACCACTTGTGCTGAAGCTATAGACTTTTTGTGAATAGGCCTGTTTGTCTGATTAACTAACCTCAATCTGTGTTGACCAACAACTAACTTAAGTAAATAATTAAACAAGTTGAGTTTTGATGTGATTTTACTTAACATTAAAGTATAGGGTTTTGATGCGTATTAGTTTAACTTGCATCATGTTAAGTTTTAAAGGGTAACTTCCGTATCTGTTGTCAAAAACAACCTAACTTAATGAAAATATCGAATGATATAAAGATTTTTTGATACATCGATTATTTCATTTTTAGGTTAGGTTAACCTAACCAACCAAACGATATATATCGAATGAAACAATCAGATAAAAAATATTCAATAGCCTATTTTCATTCGGTTGTTTTTATACGGAAGTCTATCCGTTTTAAATTTGTACAAATGTTTAGTTTGGATATTATTTATTGTGCCTTGACTGAAATGTGACATTACTTTTTAGAAACTGGAGACACTATTTTTAGCCGTTTTTGAGAACTTAACTTAGGCCTGTATATACTGTTTACCAACAACGAATATCGCGGTTTGTGACTGTGACTTTTTCACTTTGAATCATAGGCTATTTATTAGTTGTAATTTGTAGGCCTACATAACTTATTTAGTTTGTAAACTGTTTCTTGAGCATAGACTTACTAAACTTGAGGTTTGGGTCATTACATTTAGCCCGTTTTTGAAACATTTCATCATTGTAAAAACTATTTGATCGCCACATAAAAACGGCGCAGTAGAATTTGATTTAAAACACTACGGTATAAAATATTTACCTATTTATATATTTTCCTTTAACTTGTAACTACCTACTTATATTAATGTAGGGGCATAAATTTACTTTCATTTTATATAGGCCTAAGTTAGTTGGTATTTGGGTTTTTTGTTCAAAATTAATATATATATATAATATATCATGTAGGTACGGTACATGTTTGAATAGGCTAACAAAATGTATTTTTTCTAACAAAAATACAAGATTTATAAAATTCATAAAGATTTATTGTAATGATCATTTCCATGAACAATCCTACTTCATTTAATTTCTAATGTTATTGCCTTTACAAAATGTGTACTTTTACTAAATTTCTTCAGAAAATAATATTATTAAAATCATGTAGGTAGGCCTACTCTTCATCTATTATGTAATGCCAAGCAGAGGTTAGTTTACAAAACTATATTTACCGTTGTCTGTACCATAATCTATAGGCATCACAAGCAAACTAGGCCTAAGTTACAATAAGCTTATATTTATTCTCCATAAGAATAGGCATAACTTAAAATGACAATTTTTATTTTTTCCATAACCATTAAGCGTATAACGACACTTCCTGTTTTTTTAAGTTCCAGTTCTACAGAATAGCTATTTTTAAGGTCAACAATATTGAAAAAAACATTTTCTACCCTAAAAAACGCTGTTCCCATAGTCCCATTGCGAACTCTTTTAAATATAAATGTAGTTTTAAACACGTTTATTAAAATTAATCTAAATATATTATTTTGTCTTACGACACACACACATTACACATACCGTATTGGAACACATTAATTTCATGAACTAAAACTCAGACTAGGCCTTAACTTCAAAAATGTGTGTCCACATATTAATTTATCTTCAAAACATAAGAAGGGTTTATCAAATAAGCCTATTCATATCCAAACATATAATGATACTATTGGTACATCCATAGGCTAACTTAGGAAAAACTAAAAGGCAACAAAAAAGTACGTAAAAACACTCATGATAGGCCTTCTATACAGAAATAGCAGTTTAGTACTGTATAACAATAGTTATTTGTGTAACTAGTGGCACTTTATACGCCTTTACTCGCCTGCGGCTCGTGCGTAAACATTGCTCTCGTGTGCAGCAAAGGCCTTTTTCACTTGTGTTACACATTATATTTTTCCTACAGTCACTATAAAGCATATAAATAATTAGTCTTTCAAACACTATACAACACGTTTTTAGGTTCAGCTGGCAACACAAATGGTGCCCTAGAGAAAGTAGTACCCACGGTCCGTATCACTCCGCTATTTTTCCTCAGCAAGAAATGTGCTCCGCATTTTGAGAATATAGTTCCGTATGATTTTGTAATTTGAAGTGGTTTCCGCGCCTAAAAAAATGCTTTAAAGGTGTTTTCTTGTTTATTAAGATCGTAGGAATTTTTTAAAAACGTTTAAAAGAAAAATCCAGAAACTATAAACACGAAATGACAGGTTAAATCGTAGTTGTTATAATAGTCAATCAGCTGCTCATAGTATTATTATCTTTAAGTGTTGCCAACCTATTTCCAAGCGTACACGGATTACGTGCATAATAGAACCACGCTGTTTTGTGTTGTTTCGTTGGAATCATGATGTGCGGCAAAGTATAAACCGTACGACAAAGTATAAACCGTACTGCAAAGTATAAATATGCAGCAATTAGCAGCTTTCTGTACTATAAACAGTACAAGGAAGCCAACTTTGTCGGGTGACTGTAGGAAAAATAGATTTCACGTTCCTCGATCGTCCACAGGAAAGGTCATGTAGTAGAGATTCTACTGTAATGGATTAGTAATTATTTGAAAATAATGGAAAAACACAAGTTCCATGCACAGTTGGTTTCGAATGCACTGAGTCAAAGTAACTTCATAGCATATTCTTAGGACATTAGGCTGAAGCTTAAGTATAGTCATAAACAAACAGATAATAGGTTGAATTCCTATTTTTTGAAAATGCAACTGAATTGTAGATACAAACATGTGAAAAATGAGTAGCCTATGTGTTCGTTTCAAAATAAAGAAGAGTTTATCAGAGAATTTTTCTTCAGGAGTGATCTGAAGTTGAAGACAAAATGGATGTCGACGAAGAAATACTGCTTGGCAGGCAACCCACGGAGGGTGGTGAGAATCAAGATGCTGAAGTTACAATGGATGTTGATCTGCCCTCTGAATCTACATCCTTTTTGCCGCTTCAGAATGTTTCGGCCAACTTTGGGACAACTAATTCTGATTCGGAAGATGAACTAACTCCCATGAGAAGAACGAAGGAAGAAGAGCAACTTCTCACCAATAAATTTCTAACAGGTGAATTAACATTCAGTGAGTATGCAGCACAATATGGTGAAAATGAAGAACCTTTTGAGGATGATGAAGAAGGTGTAGTTTTAAGCAGTACTGAAAAAGTTGAAAAGGATAAAAAACCTCTTATTTTACCTACTGTTCATACATTTGAACAAAATATTGCAGAAATAAAGGGAAACAGTTCAGCAAAAAAAAGGAGCAAAGGTAAGCAAATGAGAAGTCGGAATAATCTGCCTCCAGCTTTAAAAGGCTTGATGGGTGAGGCGAATTTGAGATACGCCAAAGGAGAACATGAAATGGCTATAACAATGTGTTTTGAAGTGATCAGACAGTTTCCGTGGGCTCCAGAACCCTTTGAGACATTAGCTAGTCTATATGAAGAAAAAGGTGACACAGAAAAATCACTTCAAGTGTCTTTATTAGCAGCTCACTTAAATCCTAGATCTTCAAAACATCTTTGGATTAATCTAGCAGAGAAGTCAGAGGACCGTCAAGATTTTAAACAAGCTAGCACGTGCTATAGTAAAGCTATCAAAGCAGATGTCAAGGATTTCGATCTACATATGAGACTTATTGCTATGTTGGAGAAAATTGGTGATCACAAATCCGTCTTGAAGGCGTACATGAGGCTATTGCAAAAAGTAGAACCTCATCATGGTGAAAAAATTGTTGAAATAGCAAAAATGTTGACCGAGAGGTACCATAAAGACGGTGATTTGAAAAAAGCAAAAGAAGCCCTTCAGATTGCTTTTCACAAATGTCCTCATCTTATTTCCTCTGTGCTTGTTAATATTATGTTAGAAGTATTAATGGGGCTAAAAGACTTTAACGCTTGTATAGATTTATTGGTCAAGTACTGTAAGGTGAATATTGCCAAGGACGAGGTAAATGGTAAATGTATTGTAAAAGCCTGTCACGTACCTGAAAATATAGAAATTGATATATTTGCTAAACTCACCATGGTTATTATACACTTAGGGGGATTCAATGTATTGGACGATCTTTTGGATAAAATTAAGAGCATGAATCCAGAAGAAGCTGGTGATGTCTACTTTGACGTTGCGGAAGCACTGTTGTCTGAAAAGAAATTCTCAAAAGCTTTAGAGTTGTTGACACCACTTACAGTTAGTGATAATTACAACTTACCAGCAATATGGTTAAAAATGGCAGAGTGTTTGAGAGCCCTAAATCGTCTTGAAGAAGCTGTGTCTGCATACATGGTTGTAGTGGAGAAAGCTCCTCAGCTTCTAGCAGCAAGGTTAGCTGTTAGTGAACTACTTACAAGTCTTGGTAGGAAAGACCAAGCTTTGGAAGTCCTCACACAAGATGAAGACAGTGAGATGTTGAACACAGCGATGTTGTTGGAACGTTGCCTGTTGCTTCAAAAAATGCCGGATCAAAAAGAACAGTTTATAGCGGTAGCCCAATTATTTCTTTCACGCCATTTCGTATACATAAACAATAGAGAAGATTTAAATGCGCTCACCACACTTAGATCTGACAGAAAGAGGACAGTGTTGAAGGAAAATAAAAATCTTCAAAAATGTTTCAGCCAAGGGGAAGAAGTAAAAGGTGAGTTTAGCCAAACTTTCAATGAACCTTCGGTCGAAGAAGAATGGCATCTATTTTGGTGTGTGTGTGAAATGTGTTTGGAAATGGGTAAATTCGATACATTACAACGGCTTGCGTTTTCCGCTCAAGGATCACAGAAGTTCACAGCAAAGTTTTCTCAAGAAATTGATCTTCTTTGTTTAAGCTCGTCTTACTACAATGCCGATGCCTACTTCGGCTATAACATGGTACGGGCGTTAGTGCTGAAGAATCTGAACTGTGAAAGATCATGGAATATGTTCAATATGATGATCTTGCGAGCAGACGACAGCCGGCACAATCGTTTTCTCATGAGGCTGTTGATCAGAAACCCTCATCACAAAGCATTGACAATCCTCCACGCCAACAACTGTTTGGTCGCAGGGACATACAAATACGCGTTGAATGACTACACTTCCGTCTTCCAGAAGGATAACTCCGCAATGATGGCATTTCTGATAGCTGTAACCCTCTGCCAAATGGCTTGCCAGAAGTTCTCAGCCAAGAAACATTCCCTGGTGACTCAGGCTGTGGCTTACTTTTGGAAGTACAAAGATCTAAGGGGCAGGGAGGGTTTGCAAGAGTCCTACTACAATATTGGCCGAGCATTCCATCAGTTGGGATTGCTGCCTCCTGCCATTCACCATTACAAGAAGGCTCTGGAGTTCAAAAGCAAGTTCATCGACAACTACCCTCAACATCTGAACCTTCAGAGGGAAGCTGCGTTCAATCTGCATTTAATATACATGGCTTCGGGTGCTAGAGACATAGCCAGGATGTACTTGGAGAAGTATGTTGTTGTGTGAAGCTAATAAAAAGCACACCAGGTCATCTTTATATTGTCAAAAATTTTAAAATTTAGTAATTAACTCAGAATTTATGTGATGTTTAAAGTGTTCAAACAAAACTGAAAATTTGTTACATCTTAATCAATTATAACCAAAAGCTAAGCTTAAAGTTCAATATGTGTTTAAATCATTATGGGCAGAATTTTACTTGTATGTAAGCTGTAAGTAACACACCCTATTACAAAATGCTTTATAAACTCACTATTATCCATAATCTAGTAGAAAATGTCATTCAAATGCATTATTTATCATTAAAGCAATCATCTTTTTTTACAAATAGGCTAGAATATTTATCGACTAGTATGCCTATTCTTGTTTTGTAATTTTTTATGATTTTAAGATTGGAATTCAATCAGCAGTTTTAATAAAATATTTCATTTTGGAAGAATGTTGTAGCATTTATTACATCTCTTTCATTGTTCTATGTTTAATTTTACTGTGAAACCATATGTTTGCTCATAATTATTTCATTATCATTACTTTACGACAGCAACACTCTTAAGATTCATATTCAAATAGACTTTTCTCAAGATTAAACTAGCAAACGTCTAATTGACACATTTCAGGGGAGCAATGTAATTACTCAGTCATCCTGCCATAAGAAACAGCGATTTCCATGAATACATAGTAGCCTTCATATAATTACGCCATAACATTTTGCCTTTATTCCGATTTAGTACAGAACACAATTTTAACCGATGAGGCCTGAGTCATATAACCTTAAGGGTCAGAACATAAGTAAGAACCCAACGATTGCATAAAAATAGTGTTAACGACACAATTAGAAAATGTAAGGTAATAGCCTTGGCAAGTGCCTAAAAAACGTCTACGAGCATCGTTAACACTATTTAAGTGAGTTGTGTACACTACTTTACCTACGACAGTGTTTAAAAAAATCACTACCTACTCCTAACTTCTAAGAGAGGTTATGTTTCTGTTTATAACCTCTCATTACCCGGCCCTGACAGTGATGCAACAAAACATTGTACCAAGCATTAATTACACCACTCAACAATTAAATTAACCTGAACAGCTGATTAGTTGAAGTTCAAATCATTGCAATTTTACTTTTTCTCTCTCAATCCTTGAACGTCATTGGCCCGTGTTGTTAAGTAAAACAATGCTTTTATGTGAAGAAACAGCTACTTTAAAAAAAACCGTTGTAGGTAAAGCAGTTTTAGGGAATCTTCTGGATTACAGATGATTAGCAAAACGGTTAGAAAATGGTTAGCAAGACAGTAACAAAACCAAAGGCATCTAGACCATAGTAAAAAGTTGCAGTAAAAAAATTGGGAAACTGCAAAAAACCCTTAGGTGTCATCTTTTTTGAATTAAATTGTAATATTCTGTTTATTTCTTGTGTTGTATGAAATTTATGGTTTTAACCTCGTGGGCTAAGCCTCGTGGTACATGCTAATATTTTGTAAATGAATGAGTTGGTGATATCAATCAATCAATTATTGAGATGGGGACGCCACCTAGGAGCGTATTTTAACCCAAATATGAGTGTAGAATGGTGTGTGATGACCTGTGTAGCTTTGTTACTGACTAAGATCAGCGGTTTCATTAGTCAGGATCATTTATTTAAAGCCCAATGATCAGGAACAGCTGGGTCCAGTTTCGAACCATCAAAAAGCTACTAACCTTTCTCAGGATCGAACCGGCGACCTTTTGATTTACTAGGCGAGCATTTACTAGGCGAGCACTATAACCACTCAGCTACCCAGCCACATTTGAATGAAAAATTCAGCTGCATTTTTTATCAATGCCTAGTTTGCAATCTTTTCTTATACAAAATATAAAGTACTAAAGTAACAACGAAATTATGTAAAGTGATTGTGTACTTGCACAATGGTTTTAATAATCAATTAACTACATCTTTAGAGTTTAGAGAGACGTTCAGTCTTTTCAGTACCACGCCTACTGCACAAATTTCCTTTTGGAAATGGGATAACTGTTGGGAAAAAGTCATGCTCAAGGTATAACTAAAAAAAACTAATTATTATTTCTTAACGATACACAAACATATTGAAATAAAATCTTTTAAGTAAGGTAAATGCACCAGTAGCTGACAGTGCTCCAGAAGCTGACAGTTTGACTTTCTTTACATTATAATATGGTCTCTTAAAAATATGTACACATGATTGCATTGTTAGAAGAACATATGTTTATTCTTGATTTGTTTACAAACAAATCGGTGAAATTTAGCCCATACTCGCTGAATGGTGGTGGTTTGAAAGCGACCCTGTCTGTACACATCACATTTAGTCGATTCCCTCAATGAAATTGTTAAGAAGATAAGTTTGGTTTTTTGTCATTTCGCAAAATTTCTTAAATAGTATTAATGATTAGGCTCATTATTTTTATCATTTATACCTTTGTTGTCAATTTCATGACAAAATTGGGGTGTTAGGGGTTTTGGATTTAAAATTATATCAATGTCAGGCTTTGGTACACAAAAGCCATACAAGTTCCACTAGCTGACAGGGGATATTTGCTACATGCACAATATTAAATTGGTTTTACCCATCAAAACTTGCATGCTATTTCACACATTTTAATTTTTTATATAATAAGCCAAATTATTTTAAAAGATTTATATTTTTTAAAAATATATATAATATATATATATTTTTTAATGTAAATATTTTTTATTTTATAATATGTAAAATACATTTTCTTAATAACGTTTTACATGATTTTATAATTTAATTATTAAGTTAGATTTTATTCGTCTTATTAATTAGGTATAAAACCCTTAGGTTTAGCAGTTATATAGTAATAGTACATTTTATAGTTCCAGTGTCAGCTACTGGGACAACTGACAGTCAGCTACTGGTACAAGCACTTTTTTCACTGTCAGCCACTGGAACACGTACAAAGGTTGAATTAAGTTTAAAAATGTTATAAAATATATTTAAAAACCCCTTTATGTATGACAAATTTGAAAACTACACTAAATTTAGAATCACATAAAATCCATAATATCTCTTTAGTTCCTATTTATTCAAAACCACGGATTATTAAGTGCGTATAGTTTCTTATACTGTCAGCTACTGGTGCGTTTACCTTAATTATATAAATGAAGAACTACGGTCTAAAATGTACTTAAAAAAAAAGTCAAGTCATCTTTTCCTGCCTTTCTTTTTTTATGTGCTGGTTCCCCATGTGTTTCATAAGGAAACTAGCTATAGCATACTCAATTATATTTTAGTACTGCGATTGACATGAAATCAACTTTTTCCTTTTTTCCAGATTAAGTTCAATTTCTTCAAAAAAGTCTTAAACTTGAATTTAATTTAAAGTTGGTTGGTGGTGTTACGACAATTATTTGGCTTTGTTGAATAAACTTAAACTGTTGTTAACCTAGTAAGTACAAGTAATTAGGCTTAATATTCAAACAAATTTAAAGTTTTTTATTTCATGTTACACAGTTTATTTTTCAGGTATTATCATCGAAGCCATGAGTCACAATTGTAATTGTAAACCGAAACCCAATTATGAGGAAGTTTTTGCTGAGGCGCCAATGCTATGCCCTAGAAAGCGTGTACATAGATTCTACCCATCTTTCACTGGTTTCACCAGTTTAATAAATAATATTCATTACCACTTAATTAGGATGGATAGAAATCAAGACCAACTAATGCCAATTGAAGCTTTAAGATATTATGGCTCTTGTTTATTCTGGCTGAGAGTTGTTAAGCTTAAGGACTTATTTGATGTTCAACTCACTGAAGAAGAAGAAGACCTTTATTTTTATTGTTCAAGAGCCAATCTAACAATACCAGAACCATTATTTTTGGGATTACAGGCAATTGGAAAGATCACTACGAAGACAGGAGTGGTTTTTGAGCCGACATTCCCCCCTCTAGCTACAAAATGCACAAATGGTATTCCAGGTTCGTACGGTGTTGTTGACGAAGAAAATCACCACTGGTATGAAGACTACCCTGTGATAGGTCCCGCTTACGAAGCGTTATTTCACAAAGCCTTTTTTCCGGGGCCTGTAGAGTTATATGGTTCTGCGTTTGCTCCTCCCAATCTCAAAGTGAACTTTAATCTTCAAGGCTATGAACAGTCATCATCTAAGATAAACCGTCAAATCCTAAATTATTTTAAATACATAGGTGTTGCAGGAAATGTATTAGAAAAGATCAAAGACACTGGATTCATCCCATCTACCATAATGCACATATCTGATGATTTGAGTAAGCGTAAAGAATTTAGAAACTTTTACTTCTCAGATTTGACCATTGATGGTAATATAGCACAGCTGGTAGAAGCCCATCCTGAATTGGAGGACTATAACGAGAATGTTGCTGCTGCTGATCAGAAAATGACAATGCTTTGTTGCAGTGAGGAATCACAAGTGGAAGTCGGGATTTCTGCTGTCTATGGTCTTAATCAGTGGAAAGAAAATCTAAAATGCTCGGAACCTTGGGAAAAAGTTCGTCCTTGGAGTTGTGTGCAATTCACTGAATCTAATCAACCCTCTGAGAAATGGATATCCGAAAAGAACAAGTACCGTAACATTCCGGCTTGTTTTCTAGAAGAAAATTTCTACTCTCCGTCATTTGATGCAAGAAAAACCAGATCTAATGTTGTTTTTAAACTTCGTCTGTAAATATCTTCAAGTTTATCCATTTCACCATGGGGAGTTGTCAGGGCAAAGAACCTATAATTTAATCTAGTTTTATCATTTTGAAAGTATTATTAATTTTATCCTGATATCAGTAGCCAAGGTGAAAAGAGTTCCCATGATGGTGAAAATTATTGTAAACATAAATGATTAAATATGAACTACTGGAAATACTTTATAGAACCAAATTCAATTAAGGGCGATTATTAGATTTTATTAGATGTCAATAATGATCTTGTGTAACATATTATTTCATTTTTCTGTTTTATTTCTGTTGTCCATTTTTCTTAAAACGTTTGGCTATTTTGTTTAATATTTTATTTTAAGGTCCAGGAAAACTTTATTCTGATCGGTTACTATTGGGATAATGTTTGTAATACATAAATTTGATCAATGGTGTTAGTTTTTAATAAGACTATGAATTGTGCAGTGGTACTATTGGAACCAGTTAAGCTCAATGAATTATTAATCCTTACAAGAGAAATTACAAGAAAAAATGTGCTAGTTCCCCATGAGTTTCAAAACTAGACGTGCACAGACTCAATTCTGTAATTCAGTAATGAATGCAAAATATTGTCAATGCTTTTTCCCACACAATGTACAAAACAACGTCAAAAAATCTTAAGCTTGAATTTAAGTTTTGGTGGTGTTGCGACAATTATTTGGCTTTATTGAATACACTTTAACTGTCGATAACCTAGTAATTACAAGTGATTAGACTTAAGATTCAAACAAATTTAGTTATTTTATTTCATATTACACAGTTTAAAATTGATTTTTCAGGTAGCCATCGAAACCATGAATCGCAATAGTATGCGTAAACCGATAACCGAGTATAACTACCAAGTTTTTGCTGAGGCGCCATTGCTATGCCCTAGAAAGCGTGAACACAGATTCTACCCATCTTTTACTGGCTTCACCAGTTTAATAAATGACATTTATCACCAGTTATCGCAGAGTAATGGAGATCTAGACAGAGTAATACCAATTGAGGCTTTAAGTTATTATGGCTCTTGTTTGTTCTGGCTGAGAGCTATCAAGCTTAAGGTGTTGTTTCGTCATAAACTCACTGAAGAAGAATATCATCTCCGTGAATTATTTCGATCAGCTAAACTAACAATACCAGAACCATTATTTTTGGGATTACAAGCAATCGGAAAGATTACTACGAAGACAGGAGTGGTTTTTGAGCCGACATTCCCCCCTCTAGCTACAAAATGCACAAATGGTATTCCAGGTTCGTACGGTGTTGTTGACGAAGAAAATCACCACTGGTATGAAGACTACCCTGTGATAGGTCCCGCTTACGAAGCGTTAGTGAAACTAAGGGAAAAAGCATCTAACAAAAATCCGGTTGAGTCACAATATGCGTCTGTTTTTGCCCCTTCTGATCTCGAAGTGAACTTTAATCTTCAAGGGTATAGGCAGTTATCAACTATGAGACTATGTGATATGACGTATTCTTTGCAAACCTTCGGTATAACAAAAGATGATAGAGAAAACACTGGAATTTGCCGATCTACAATAATGGACATATCCGATTATTTGAAACGGGTTAATGCATTTAGAAACTTTTGCTTCTCGGACTTGACCAGTGAAGGTAATATAGCACAGCTGATAGAAGCCCATCCACTCCTTGAGGATTATAATAAAGATTTCGCTGCCGCTGATCAGATGATGACAATGCATTGCTACAGTAAGGAATCACAAGTGGAAGTCGGGATTTCAGCTGTCTATGGTCTTAACTTGTGGAAAGAAAATCTAAAATGCTCAGAACCTTGGGAACAAGTCCGTCCTTGGAGTTGTGTGCAATTCACTGAATCTAATCAACCCTCTGAGAAATGGATATCCGAAAGGAACAAGTACCGTAACATTCCCGCTTGTTTTCAAGCAGAAAATTTCTACTCTATGTCATTTAATGTAGGGATTAGCAGATCTGATGTTGTTATTAAACTTCGTCTGTAAATATCTCAACGCTTATCCCATTTCACCATGGGGAGTTGTCAGGGCAAAGACTTTTGAACCTATAATTGCATCTAATTTTATCATTTTGAAAGTAATGGTGAATAGCCAAGCTGAAAAGAGTTCTCATAATGTTGGGAATTATTGTAAACATAAATGCTTAAGTATGAACTACTGGAAATACTTTATAGAACCAAATTCAATCAAGGGTGATTAGAACTAACTGTTATTAGATGTCAATAATGATCTTGTGTAACATATTATTTCATTTTTAACAAAGACTGTTTTATTTCTCCAGTCCAGTTTTCTGAAAACATTTGGCTATTTTGTTAAATATTTTATTTTAAGGTTCAGGAAAGCTTCATTCTGAACTATTACTATTAGGATAATGCTTGTAATAGGTAAATTTGATCAATGGTGTTAGTTTTTAATAAGACTATGAACTGTGCAGTGGTACTATTGGAACCAGTTAAGCTCAATGAAGTATTAATCCTTACAAGAAGAATTAATCTGGACAGTTTTTTAAAGTCCTGTTTGTTGATTTTGTAGAACCTCGATAACAATATTGTAATGGGGATAATTAAATAAGACAAAGTTGACTTCTTATATCAATGTTTGCAATAACATGTAATTAGGTTTAAAATAAATTTAAGGTGATTTGAAAATGACACTTGTTATCAAGGATGTCTTGTTTCCAAGGGTCTTGTTATCGAGGTTCTACTCTAGTAATATTTAGATTTTTTTATGTATACTGTTGTGACTGAATTTTATCTCGCATTGAAGCGGTTTTTGTTAACCTAAACATCTTAGAAGGATTCTTGTTTTAAGTTTTTTATGCCTAAGTTGCTTCAATAAACTTTTTTATTCAATACATTATTTAATAGCCTAGTTTTTCTCCTCTCCAAAATTAGGCCTCCAGCTTCACTGTAGGCAATGTAAATTTTTCACTTGACAGTTTCATACTTAAAAGATTACAATGATTTATGACTATTATATAACTTATAACTTAATTGTGAAACCATCATATTAATTGCCTCCCATACTATAAGTGACAACACTTTTGTTTATATGTCTGAATGGATGTCATTATTACACTAATAGGCCTACTTCTTTTGGAACAAAGTTGTTACCAACCCCAATTTTGAAAATTCATTCTCTAACAAAACATTCAATCAATTATATCCATTATTTAAGAGGGGGGCGCCACTATGTGCTTATTTTAGTGGAATCCGAACCACGTTTTTTTTTTCTTGTAATTAACGTATTGGTCTAATTATCAGGGTAGTAAATATTGAACATTTGTCGTAGACAGAATGTTACCAACAAAAGTCTTGGCTTTAAAAAAGTACAGTAAACTTTTGTTCACAAGTTCTTTTCGAAAATCTAATTACTTTTGTAAACACTGAAAAACTGTTTAAACAATTTGAACAAAACCAAAATATCTTTGGATTGTCTAAAACACATGTTATAAACAATAGATTTAGTCTTAAATCTATTCCACTCTTGAATCACAAAACTATTTTTAGATTGAATATCAGCATCGTAAAAAGTCAAAGATTCTGAACACAAACATTCTGTAAACATGATGTTCTACGAGTTCAGTGATATTTGTGAAAAAATAAGCTTGGCTCGAAGAGATAAACGAGTTGCTGTCTTACAGAAGTTTATTTCTGACTACAGATCTACAAATGTAAGTATAATTTTAGTAATACCCTTTCTTTGTTCTTGATATAGTAGTTTACCATCCTGTTTTATCAACCCGTGTGGCATCTTCAAGGGGGTCTTCTTCTTATACTATCTTCTTACACCTTTACGCAACACTAACCTCTAAAATTACAAAACATTTACACACAATGTTTTGTGGTGTCACAGTTGGGCTGAACAGGTAAAACAACAACGGATTATGGTGGCGAAGGTGTTTCTTCATTAGTTACATTTCTTTGGCAAGGGTTGTTGGTATTTGCCACGGTTGGCGGCTGAGTAGTGATACTGATACCCGTTCGGCTGGATCTCAATACCAGTGACTTTGTGTGTAAATTATTTGCAATGTTATCGACGTTAGTGTTAGTGAAGTAAGTAGTATAAGACCCCATGAAAATGCAACACTGGTGGTGAAATTTGCATAGGGTGATAAACAACCTAGAACACATAACATGAAATATAAGAAAACACACAAAATACTCTGCCACAGCATACCTGCTGACTAAGCGATTTTAATTTGTCTGATTGGATTCTTAACTCAAACATTTCCTTGAACATAACAAATTTCTCCCCTTTTAAATAACCATGTTTAATGAGCACGTAGGTTTGCTGTTAGAGAGTAGGAAAATGTGTTTTTAGCGAATTTCCCTATAGGGAAGTAGCTATTACCGTAGGTGGCACGGTAAGACCTAGACCCGGGACCGATTTACTTTTTCATTTTGATGTCCCCAGAGGCCAAAAACACCATTCGTTCAAATTTTTATATATATATATATATATATACGTCCGTGAACGCGATAACTTGAGTAATTTTTGTCCGATTTTGATGAAATTTGGTTTAAAGGTGTAAAGCGGGATAAACTTGAATGAGTTCGCGAACCAGCACGATCGGACCATGGGAACGGGGCTTTACGGGGGGTTTTATGGGGTAAAAATTGGTTTTTCTCACTTTTGACCCTCAAAACACAAAATTTCCCGATTTCTCTTTAGACCTTTTTAAAGAGCTTAAAAAAACAAATAATTAAGTATATAAAAGTATTTTTGTTCGATTATTAGTAACGGAGAAAATTAAAAAAATTGTAAATTTCAAATTCCCATGTTATTCTTATGGAGAATACTGTCAAATGTTGTAGTTTGCTTGTTTATGGATATATTTTGGTCAAACTTGGCAAATTTATTTATTTTGTACTAAGCTATCAATATTTTACTCAAAAACACACTTTATTAGTTTCCTTGTAGCAGCAAACCTAGGTACTCATTAAACCTAATGTTATTAAAATATATTTAACTGAAAATCAATTCAGACAAATGGAAATTCGCTTAGTCGGCAGGTTTGCTGCGGCGGGGGTATTTTTTATATAAATACATAATTTGGTGTGAAATAAACAAATTTGCCACATTTTATCAAAATATATCTATAAACAAGCAAACTTCAAAGGATTACTTGTTTATTCTCAATAAGAATAAGGTGATTTTAAATTTTGTAGTTTGGAATTTCCTCCCTAACTATTGAGTGTACAATTACCCTTCAATATACTTAATTATTTGCTTTCTTTTTCTTTTCTTAACATAATGTATTTTAAGAATGCTAAATTTGATATTTTGATTATAAAAAATGGGAAAAATTTTCACTGCTTGAAACTGTTCCCAAAGTCTGATATTACTGGTTTAGCTTCTTCACCAACTTTCATAGGTACCAAATTTCATCAAAATGAGAACACAAGGCTCAATTTGTTGTTTGCATGGACACACACACTGATAATGTATTTAAATTTCAACCAACAGTGTTTTTGGCCTCTGGGGACATCAAAATGAAAATTTTATTTGTTCCCAAGGTCATATAAATTAAAAGCTTCTTTCCAATAGGAAAAATCCACTAAAAATAGTAGTAACTATAATTTAAAGTTCTTGATTCTAGGAGAATCTAAAAAATTGCAACAGGATTAGGTTTGGTTGTAAGATTTAATTTGTGACAGAACCAAAAGCTCCCAAAAAGTAACAGTTTTTTTCTAATAAGCAGGAACATAAATTTAGTTTCATAGTTAAGGAAAATAAGTTTTATCTATAAGTGGATACTGGATAGTCTGGAAATCCTAAAATGGTGCAATTAGTTAAACTCTTGTATCATTTAAAACTTTAGAACCAATTCATTATGATAGAGATTAATATTGAATACATCCCTCAATATTCTCTAACATAATTTCTAAAATTTGAGATTTTCCTCTAAAACTTATGGGATTTATGACTGTTTGTTATACACGTCCATTGTACTTGTACAAACAATAAAAAAATATATATTTTTTTTTTAAATGTCCAAACATGTACCTATCCAAACTCCTTGCTGATTATTAAAAACATAATTTATTTTGATGTTTCTTTAAATCATCCTAAAAAAAAATTCTTTGAGTCCAGTTGGGCAAATCGCCTAAACATGTTTTCTCACCTACATAAAATACCCAGGTCAATACAGTATTATTATTCTAGTCAGAGAAGCTAGTATATATTTGTACTATGTTTATACACAACATTGTGTTATGATTGTCATTCATAGCCAACCAGCTTCTACCCAGTGCTGCGTCTGTTACTGCCCAAGTTTGACCGCCAACGTGATGCGTATGGAATCAAAGAGACAGTTCTTGCCAGGATTTACATCCGTAATTCTCTGTCTACATCCGGACAGTACGGACGCTCTCAAATTGAAAAACTTTCGGTAATATTTTCATTTATTTGTCATAAAATATAAAACTCCAGATATTACCAATCATAGCTGGGTGTGTGATATTATAAAAATAATGAATTTAGATGATTGGGGAAGGGTAAGATCATGGGCGTCCTCTATATAGGCTGAGTGGTGGGAGGAGGTTAAGACTCCCTTCATAAGCTAAAACCCAGCTATTGTAGCACAGGTACGTAGCCGAAGGATGAGATAGACAGGATAACGAAGAAAAAAAGAATGCTCCAGGAAGTCAATCTGGAAAATAATTCAGAAGCAGAAGGTCCCTAGGAAAGCCCATAGCTGAGCTATTAGGACCAAGTAGTACACCTAAGGTGAGTGGAAAAGAGGATGGAAGAAGCAAGAGATAGGGATGAATGGAAACATTGATTTAGGAAGCTTAAGTACCACTTGGGCTACGAGTGGCCACAGCAGTAAGTTCTCAATTTTGAAAGCAGAAAAATAAACAATAAATTTACAACTCAAAATTAGTAGGCCTAAATTAGCCATGTTTTACCTGAATTTTAAATATTTTCCAAGAAGGAACCCCAAGTCTCTTTAATGGTAATTATTTCATATCCCCCAGATGGACGCCCATGGATAAGATGGTTTTCATCCATGATTTTTCAATGTCAATGATGAACGTTTGCTGAATTTTTAACTTTTAAATACCCTGAGCAATATGAACCCTTCAATCCAGCAATTTACTTTCAATGTATTTTTCTACAATGCATACAATTTGAGCTTGCAAAAATACCATTTGATTCTTATTCACACAATAAAAACCTCATATGCAGTATCAGCTGATCGGCAATGAAAGTTATGGAAATAGGGATACCAATTTATGAGCTAGTCCTTAAACACTGTCCTTCGCTAATTAAATTGGGTTGCGTTTAAAAAAACACCCTATACTGTACTTGAATCCTTAATAATAAAAATTTATTTGAAATACTGTATACTTAATAAGTTGATAGGTGGGGTCTATAATCATGTTTAAGTAGATATTTAAGTAAAGCTCACATTTATATTGCTACGATGTAGAGCGCCCAAGAATGCAGGTGACAGTGCCGGCGACTTTGGGGACGTAGCTTACTGGGTGCTGCGCAGCCGATGCTCCACAGGGCGAGAACTGTCAATGGACGATGTCCACCGCCATCTGGATAATATCGCTCTCCACCACGCTGACAGGAAGCCAAGTGAGTTCACAAAGGGTAAAACTATGGTATTCCGAAAATAAAGCTGTTCTACACTTCTTTTATACATCTCTTTTCTGCTGTTGACTGGATGTCCAAACTTTTCTCAGCATAGAAAAAATCTGCACAACGCATGTTAGCACAGAACAAAATTTGTCATTGGATGATTAAATCTGTCTTAAACCTCAAAAATTAAGTTTTTAATTTAAAATTTTAACCTACTAAATTTCACATATAGTGTTTTTTGTATTTTTCTTAAAAAGAGGCTCCCAACCTCTATAAAAAAAGTAGGGATGGTCAAGTCTCGAAATTTCGGGAAATTTTCGGGAAATTTTCAATCTTGTTACACGAGACAAGATTACTTTTTGGCCGAGATTTTTATCGAGACGAGAATAAAAAAAAAAAAAAAAAAATTAAAAAACGCCTGCAGAAAGTCAATGCAATACCCGCAATACAGGAGCGTGTTGTAGTTGCGTTTCCTTTTCGAAGGCGTTCTTATTTAATTAATTCTTTTAATGTAAATATTACTTTAATTCTTTTAATGTAAATATTACTTTCATTATTTTAATAATATTACTTTAATAACATTTGAGAAGTTTTGTTAGGTGTAAGCAGTGTGAGGAATGTTTTATTACTATAAAAAAAGTCAAAACAAGTAACTATTTTATAAAAATTAATATTGCTTTTATTTTATGATTTATTTTATTTTAGGATAAGTTGAACTCTATCCTAACTGATATCACCATGTTTCCTAATCGTAGGCATTTTTAATAAGTTAGGCGTGATTAATAAAAAAATGTTATGCTGATGTTATTTAATGAAAGATTGTAAATATTCTTGCCTATTATCATTATTTTAGTATTTAAACAGTCATCTAACAATGTTACAAAATCAGGTAAAAATTTTGAACGTGCATTTCCCGTTGTGTATGAGAAGAGAAATCTCGTCTCGATCTCGTCTCGAAATTTTATGAGAAATAAAAATCTCGTCTCGTCTCGTCTCGAACTAAAAATCCAATCTCGTCCATCCCTAAAAAAAAAGGTTCTTACCTATTTGGGAGTTTGATAACTTCCCTTGTTTTGCCAGGAGACGTGGACAGGGAGCTGGAGGCAATGTTGCACCGTATGACAGCTCTGGAGCAGAAGTGGCTCATCCGGATAGTCCTGAAGGATATGAAGCTGGGACTGGGAACCAAGAGGATACTCTCCGTGTACCATCCGGATGCCCAGGAGGTCTATGATTTCACCCACAGTCTCCAACAGGTTACAGGTTTTTTACATGACTCTAGCTCAGGATTGTTTTTCACATTACTTCAGGCTAAGCCTACAGGTTTTGCAGAATTACCTCTTAGGTAAAATCCCAGTGTTGGTGGGATTTGAAACCGGAACCTCGGGAATTTTGACATGCAAACTAGGCATTCAAACTCGTTGTCGTGCTCGTTCCCTGCTATGGGCGGATGTTAGAGTGGTTGAGGTACAAACCGTGGTTGGGCTTGTATGCCATTAGTATAACCTTTAAGACCATGTTAAATCTTCAAATTCAAATTCTTTGACTTTTGGGTACTGAAAACATCTCATAAAGACCATTCTTTATAAAAAAGAACCTAGTTGAATGAACCACTCTCAGAAAGAACTAAGTACAATACAAAAATGTAAACGAGTGTGATTTTGGCCTCTGGGTACATCAAAACGAAATAGTAAATCAGTCCCGGGCCTACCATGAGACAGACCTACGGCCATAACTTATTCCCTATTTTTGTGTAACTCGGTAAAATTAATTAAAATCAAGAATGATATTTTTTATATTAATTTTTTTGTTCCACTGTAAAATTTCAAAATGCATCCATTTAAAGTCAAACTCCACAAAAACGAGTGGTTCAATCAAAATTTTGCACATCACATCTAAAGAAGTTTTAAATACAAATTCAATGGCACTTTGAATGTAAAAATCTGTCAGTAAATAAACTAGTTGATGGCAATTTTAATAATGAGAGCTTCTGGAACAAATATTATTCTAGATTTCCTTTTCATTTTTACCCATAAAACCCTTTCCCGGAATTTGGCACTTTATTTACTGCACACCCTGTATTTTGTAACCTTAGCTAACATACAAATCACTCTCTTAGGTCTGTGAGAAGCTAACTGATCCTACACAGCCGTTACACGAAGTAGAAGTAACGTTGTTCAACTCGTGTCATCCCATGTTAGCCGTGCGTTGCGACGTACAGAACATTTCTCGCTACTTCTACAGACGTCCGGGTCCACGATATGTGGAGACAAAAATGGACGGAGAGAGGAGTCAGCTCCACTACGCAGACGGACAGTTCAAGTTCTTCTCCAGGTACATGTTTATATAATTGGATAAGCTTATATCGCGAGGGTTCAATCATAAAAGTCAGCACCTTGGTTGGTCAAGAACTCATGTTACAAACACCACATTGATTCTGCATGTAAAAAAGATCAGACAGAATTTTCAAAAAAATATGTACTTCTTACTGCTTTTACAGTGTTCTTTATCAACTCATTTTAAATGCAGTTGCACTATGGGTTGGTAAAAGTTCAAGAACCCGCTTCCTTTTCTACCTGCAAAGGAGGGCCAATCGTCACCTACAAGGGATCTAGGGCTTTTGCTACAATCATATTTGTTGACAAGTGTGCTTAGATAAAAAATTATATTATTTTCCCACATTTATGTTCTGAAGCCCTCACTTTTCATGTAAAATTATTTTCAACGTATTGAGATTTTCAATTGGTAAGGAATTATTAGAATCATCACAATTCCTTGACCACAACACGACTGACGATTGAGTTTTAGGGAAAATAGAAAATATCATAAACTGAAATAAAGAAGATAGCAGCTACTTTATCATAGAAGAAGTCCAGGTTGGCCATAAAACACAAAATGTTCGTTCCCTGAGGGGACTTTTTGAAGTGTAGAGAAAGAGAGTTTGAACTGTTCAACTTTCAGTATGAACTCTCTTTTTCCTTCTCTTCACTTGATTAAGTCTCCTAGAGGACAACACATTTTATGTTTTATGTGTCTTCTGTGTGCTCTATGGCCTACCTGTACTTCTGAGGTAAGCTAGATGCTATCCCCTTCAATTCAAAAGTATTCTACAATTCAAAATCCTGGCCAAAAGCCTTTCCTTGATCAAAAATACCCTGGAATATATGTGTTTAAATGTTATCAAAACCTCTTAGGAATGGATACGAGTTTACGGATGCATTCGGAAGCAATGAAGCGACAGGATCTATTACTCCTTATCTGATCAAACAGTTCAAATCCGGAGTGAAGAATTGCATCTTGGATGGAGAAATGATGCCTTGGAACACTAAGTACAGGTGTTTTGGAACCAAAGGTACACTAGTTCATTCCACAATAATCGGAAATTAGTAGGTAGTGAAAAAAAGACTGCGATAATGAATGGGAAAAATCCGTCAGAAAAATATCTATGTGTAGGTTTGCAAAGTTTTCTTTTAAAGTATACCTTACTCAAAAGTAACAATAAGTATACAAAGTGGTAGTTTTGATGCCATGAGGGTAGGATCGAATCAAATTCCAGATCCTAAAACATTGTAAAAACTTTTTTGCTAATTGTGATGGTAAATGCCCACAATAACCTCTTAAACAACTTACCTTCACAAAAAATGACACTAATGTTTCATGAATGATTCTCACCGAGTCGTAACATTGCAGGAATGAATTTGGACGTGAAGTCTTTAAGGGTTGGAAATGTCCACCAGCCATGCTTCTGTGTGTTTGACCTGTTGTACTTGAACGGTGCAGTGTTGACGAACCGTCCACTCAGTGATAGGTTGGCAGCTCTGGAGCAAGTGTTTACACCTTGCGAGGGCATCTTCATAAGCACACCTCGCACCGTCGTCAACAACGGGTACGTAGAAATTACGAAGCGGATTTGATGATTTAATCCTGTAGACTCTTTGAGAATAGTACGGTACCTCCACTATCCCACTCCACTTCATTCTGTTACAGCTTTCTTGATGCCTTCCATTTTCACTCTTTTGCTCTTCCAACAGTGTCCTAATCCATATATTCCCTGTATTCTCTAACTCTTCTAAGGTTTTTTTTATGAGGTTGGCGGCTTCTTTTAACCTTGCATTTGCCCGTCCACATAGACTACAGACCTGTGGGTGGATCGTTTACAGCAAAGCAAGGGGTGAGCCGGTACAGTACAAAGGTGAACTGTACTGATAAATTTTAGTGGCAGTCACCAGGATCCGAACCCACGACATCGCTGCCTTGGACCACCACTGTACAAACACTTTTTGGAGCAAATATGCTACACGCTCTTGGTGTGAATTGTAAATTTTGAACAAAGTTTGGGCTTTTAGACAGCCAAAAATATATATTTTTTAAATATATTTAAAAATATTTAAAAATATTTATATTAAAATTATTTGCAAAAATGTGTCTTTTCCTGATTATTTGAGCAAGATATCACATCCGCCCCCTGGAAATATTTCCTCTGGGTTCCCTTGTTTGCCACCCAAAAAAGTAGTTAAACTATTAAAATATGTATTTATTAATTTTTTGTTTCTCAATGTTTACAGAGAAGAGGTTTTGCAAGAGCTGAACCTTGCCATTGACCGTCTGGAGGAAGGGATTGTGGTCAAAGACCCGAACTCCATCTATAAACCTAACTCCAGGAAAGAGGACTGGATAAAAATCAAACCAGAGGTAGGCATCACTGTTTCTTTCGGCCTTTAGAAAATCACTTGTAGGTAAAAAATAATGTAGACTTCAGAAGTGTCTTCGAGGCAATAATTTACTATGCGAAAGGTTTAAAAACCAAAAGGCTGAATTATAAGAGGCAAACCCTTGTATTAATTAAGTTTTAAAGATTTGCTTGGACACAGGATGTTTTGGATGTAATTTACCCCAACCACAAATGCGCTCTGGCATTCCTAGATGAAATTGTTCCGTCCTGGATGGTCAACATTATTTCGAGGAATCGCAACTCTTGTCAGGTCAATAATTTGTATCTGCAATAGCAATGGTGTGTTACTTAGGTTGCCTAACCTGATTTGGAAAACAAAAATATTTGTAAACAAGTGGGAGATTTGAGGTTATGTTTTGGATCAAAATGCCTTACCTTATTGTGCACCTTATGTGACCTTATTGCTTATGACCAAGGGAAATAATCCGATAAATAGGTTATTGTCCTTCCATCGTTTCTGAGCAGGAAGACCAAGATTCAAGACAAATAATAATGAATAAGGAAGTTATGGTTGTTTTTGTAAGTCACTAAAAGAGCTAAAAATAGTAATTCCAGCATGTAATAAAGTAGTGCAATTTCAGTATGCCAATGGTTTGAAAGTAACAATGTATAAATAATCACAGTTATCTTTTAGGACGATATTATTATAGAATCAATCACTTTTATTTGCTTTTTTTGTCTCAGTACACTGCAGGAGCCATGGTGGAGTTGGATCTGCTCATTGTGGGAGGCTACTACGGCGGGGGCAGAAGACGGGGCCTCATCAGTCACTTCCTACTAGGGGTCGCCCAACCCCCACCTGATGGTCCAGGTGACGTAACTTTACCACTGTTTATGAAAGATACTGTATTCAAAGTTTTTAAATTGAAGCTTCAGTTAAATTGTTTCTCATAATAACACCCAAACTAAAACAACTGTCTAACCTGTGTCATTTTTCTATCACGTTTAAAAAATAGGAAGTTTTTATGGCTCTTTGAGACCTGGAATCTGAAATATTGAAAATGTATACAAATTTAAATATACTCCATGTTTAACAGGAGGGGTGCCAGTAGTGTTTGAGTCTGTGACAAGGGTAGGCTCAGGCTGTACACTGGATGAGTTGTCAGAACTGAGTCGTAAACTGGAGCCGCACTGGCGTCGTACCAAACCTGGCTACGTTCCTCCGTCACACCTTTGGACAAGGGAGAGACCGGAACTGTGGCTTGAACCTATGGATTCTGTCATTGTCCAAGTAAGGTCTCAGCAATACAATGTTCACAAAATCTTGCTAGAGATAATTTATGGTATAACATACACATCGATCTCCGTTAATTAAGGTTCCTAAAGCTCCCCCAACTTTAGCCCTTTAGCCTAAAGGGCTAAAGTTGGGGGAAAACGAGCTAGTTCAACTTTGACACTGTTACTGTGTTCTTTACTTCATCTACCATTATTCTAGCCAACTCCTACTCCTATGTGACAATTAGTCTCGTCATAGTAGTTAACTACATAATAAATACGAGGGTTGCCTGTTAATTAAGGTTTCTTGAGAAATCCAGTTGCAGTCAAAAGAGCTAGTTCAATCCACCCTGAAGGAATATTATATTATGAATAACCGTAACAACTACTTATCAATATATCCCTAGCTATCCCATCTAATCGCCTTCACAGAACCTAAAAGTTACTATAGTTTACATAAAGTTATCCTTTCAGTAAAGCTTGGCTAAAAAGTTGGTGTATTCAACATAAATCAGGAATTTACATCAGTACGCTGTCAACGGCTCAGTGATGTTCGTTTTTATTCCAAAACTGCCTACATCTTTAACATTGGAATAGAACGTCTAGTTATCATTATCCTTGGTCAACTCACTGTGTTGTCCCAGGTGAAGGCGTCCGAGGTGGTGCCCAGCGACTTTTACCAGACTGGCTTCACCTTGCGTTTCCCCCGGATTGAGAAAGTGAGATACGACAAGCCGTGGTCCGACTGTCTCACCACCGTGGAGTTTACACGGTTAAGAGAGGTCAGTTCTTTCCTCTTGGATAATATGAATTATTACTTTAAATTAAAAACTGTGTCTTGCCTTTCTATGCGAATGCATATATGGATGTTTGCTAAGCTTTAGTACAAATGTGTGACTTCAGTGACCTTTTGCAAAGAATTGTCCATAATTTTTGAATTTAGGTATAGAAAATCTATGTTGTTCCTTTAATTTAAGAAACCATGAACTGGTCATTTACTAAATAATCAAAAAATATTAACAATAAATATTGCTTTTCCATCATGCTTCTAATTTTGGCTTACGAACAAATTAATTCCATTATACTTTTGATGAAAAATCTGTAGGTGAAATGTGTGTGTGATTTTGCTGTATATAGTGTATAGTTTCTTTTCGTCCTAGGATGCTGGGCTCTAGCCCGGTATTTTTTTTTTTTTTTTTGAGCTGGACCTGGAGGTTGTGGCATTATCACTTAAAAAATATCCACTGGTGATTGGCTGGATTTGAACCTGGGATCTCGGGAATAGAAGTCCTGCGCTCTACCACTAGACCAACTCACTCCCAATGATGTATAATATAGTCTCTACATTAGTCGATAGCATTTGTATCGCTACAGAGTGCGTACGGGAGTCTGGTGAACGACCATATCACGCAGCAATCTCCTCGCGCAAGGAAGCGTCGAGCTCCAAGAGACGAGCGCTCGATTGGCACTCAGTTCCTTAACAATCAGTTGCACTCAGTGTCGTCACTCAGTCAGATGTTAAACGGACTGGAGATCTGTGTACTTACGGGAACACCGGAAATGTCTAAACAACAGTTGGAACTGAAGGTCAAGGAAAGTGGTGGCACTGTTGTGTTGAACCCAGGTGAGATTTTCACGCTTTGGTATGATTTTGTTTCAAGGTAAAAGAGGTTAGTCAATTTATTTCTCAAGATTATTTATTCCAGAATGAAGTAGGTAGTGTAATGACTCAAAATTCAATGTTTATAATTATAGTCCTTATTTTAATTTCAATCTCAATCTTGTTATATTTTCAATATTTATCCATGTCCATTGTTAATATTATTAAAACCATATTGTCTCAACATATATATAATTTAAAATCAAAAATTTATTCATTGGCTTATTCAAAAATTATTATTCAAAAACAAATCCTCCAATCAGAACACCATCCATCTGGGTTCAAGATTATTAATAAAATTCAACCATGTTTTTATTTATGTGAACCCCATAACTTGATATGATTTACAACAATGAAAAAGAGTGTGCAGTTGAAAAGCATCCAAGAAGAACATAAAAGTTTAAACTCTTAATTGTGAAAATAATTGTCATATTATAAAAGAAAGTAGTGTCAAAATTTCCAAATTTTACTGAAGAAAGAAGAATTTAAGCCTTTAAACTAAGAAGAAAATTATTATTACAGAAGATTGGTGAGAACAATCCATTTTTATTAAGTTATTGACTCAGACTATACTCTTCAAGCATCCATTTGGACCCAATTTACCTCTCTTAATTAAAATCAAAATCCTTCCTATTTAACTCATTGTTTCTAAAAGATTATTTAATTCATAACTTACCATAACTTACTTATTGAAAATTTTAATTTGAAATCTTTTGATTCGGCCAGCACGAATCCCCACCCCTGAACAATTTGTGTAACCCTATTTTAACCATTTAACTTATGTACCATTAAACCTTGTATTTTAAAACCTCTTTCCTTGTAATTATTATTGTTTAACTGAGATAAGATTAGAATACAAACCATATTTAAGGGTTTATTTCAGTAGGTCAATCTGAAATGTCCACTATACCAATCTTAAGAATGTTATTCACGTCAAAAAAATCCAAAAATTATTTAAATCCACACAAAAAATGTGGAGTAACGATTAACAAAACATTTGGAATTTGAATACCTATTTTAGGTGTAACAGTCACTATCATCATGTTACTCGTGTAGAATTGTTAATTCACCCAAAGCATTTTTATGTGCTACCGCTTTTCTACCTGCCGGGTACTATTTCTGGTGCTCACCCAATCGAGATAGTAAATTTGAATTACTGGTTGGGATGAAGAAAACTTGTTTAATGTTTATCTCTTTGTGCAACCCGGGATGAAGAAAACTTGTTTAATGTTTATCTCTTTGTGCAACCCACGTGTTACGAATGGAACTGACAAAAACAAGAGTACTCAGTGAAAGTAGTGACAATAATTTATTTGAACCATTTTGACTAACATCTTCTTTATAAGCCAACATAAACTCAACTCATTTGTTTACATTCTCTCCTTTAAATTAATAACATGTGTTTTAATTATTATGAAGCATACAATATTAACATTGACAACAGCTGGCAATTACCAGTAAGTTAAACCATTGACTATAGGTTAAACCAACACAGCATATATAACATCCTCCCACCCAAGTTAATTAACTTATGGTTGATTAACTTGTACTTTGGATCGTGTACTTCTTCTTGTAACTACTTTTCTCTCTTCTTTAGAGTTTATTTCCAATGGGTATAAACGTTGTACTGGGCGAATCAATTCATTGGTTGGTGTCTTCAATCTTACTGTGCGTACAATTCCATCTCTTCCTTTCATTACTTCAATGATTCTGGCAATCACCCAGTTTATCCGCTTGTCAAAGTCATTACCTATGAGTACTATTTCCCCCACTTCAGGTTCTCGGTAACTTTTGACATTATTATGGTGTGATAATTTACCAAGATACTCGATTCTGAATCTTGACTTCAGTCCTTCTCTTATTTTCTTTCTGTATTGAACCATGCCCTCGAGCCTGCCCCCAGACTAACGAAATGGAAGCGTGATCCATGCGCAGGCCCGAGGAGCGGCTCACAAAACTTTACTAAACAAAATGAGAACCATGGATGGAGGCTCAAGAACAACACGCCATTTGAGAGAAACGAGCTGTAATTAACCATTTAAAAGAACAACACAACAATAATTAACAATAATACATGAATTAAATACTCTCAATAAAACTTTAAAAAATTTTGATACCACTCTGACCTACTCACTTACAACATTAATTTAAAAAAAATTCAAAATAGGCTAATTTCAGTCAAAGTAAATTTAATCAGTTTTAACCTTTAAATTAACAAATTACAACAATGAAATATCTAATGACTCTTTTAATAAATTCATTTCATGGTAACTATAGAAAATTTAGGGGCCCCAAAATTGAAATTTAATAGAATATGTATTTGATAATATGATAGAATTTAAAAGTGTCAACAAATAGGCTAATACACTGAAAATAAAATTTTAAACAGATAACAATAAATATAACTTTGTAGGCCTATGACAACTAATACTGTAAATAGTCTCTTCCTTTTGTAGAATAAAACTATAAAACATAACAACAACAGCAACAATGGTAACTTGCGGTAGGGCGGTGTAGAATGTCACTACTTTCAGGCGGACAGCACCGGAGGGGAGATGCAGCAGGGCGGAGAGGGGGCCATAATTCAAGAAGCAGCCAGGGTGTTGCGAACTTCCCCTCTGCTGTGGTAGAACATGTCCATCTTAGTCCTCCTCACGGGCCCTGAGTAACAAACCCAGAAACACAGTAGTACCAGAAAGAGTTCAAGTCCATATCCGCAAAATTCACTGTCACACATTTCACTATTTTCACTGACTTCCAAAAATCCACAGATTAGGCCTAACATAATTTTTTCAAAAAAAATTATAAATTTTTAAAAGGTTTATCTCTCTTTAACAGCTCTTTATCAATATAAAACATTTCAAACAATAACAATTTTTAAATAAAACAACTAACAGGTTAAACAGTACAAGAATGGTAACATTAATATTTGCGGTAAAACCGTCAGCAGGCCAGACAGGTATGTGACAGTGGTAAATTTCACCAATAGAGAGAAAATATTTAAATTGCCTGGTCCAAAGTGGCCAGAAGAACAAGTTAACAATAAACAATTGACATTTAAACACAGAAAAATACTTTAAAATTGACAAAAAACGTTCCATACAAAAATTTTAGGCCTAACGCAACGACTCATGTATTTTTGCTAATTTCTCCAAAAGTTGTGATCCGAATTTGTTCGGAATGGTCTTAAAAGCTGGGGGAAATGTTCCAGCAGCTTCTCCAGACCATCCCAAACCTTAACTCAAAGGCTGAAACCAGTGGCCTTCCGTGTTACCCAGTTCAAACCTGAATGGAGAATTGCCAAACTAAAAATTACTGTAACTTTCTTAAAACTTGAGTAAAATGACTCAAACTTTCTGGGGAGCTTAAAGAGCAGTTAATACAACTTAATTTAACTAGTTTGGCAAGGACAAAGCAAAATAAAAGACTTTAACCTTACTTGACTGGGTAACACAAACTGAACATTTTACAAGACAAAACAACACTAAAAATTGTACGGGACACAGAGCAAAGGGCTACCAAAGGTAGTAGCCTAAGACAATTACATTTACTGAGCAAAAATTGTAAGCCTAGGCCTACCACAAAACAGTCAGAAGGACCCAAAAACTGACTTGGCAGTTTCTCTCAAATAGCGGCTTTCCAACAAACATTTCTCAGTCAATTCTAGGCCTAGCATTTCGGGCAAAGCCCTGAATTATACAAAACAACAGAGAACAGGGAAACTAACTATCAAAAGTCTTCCACGACCCCAAGACTAGGTTCCAGACCTAGTGCAACCATGTGCAGCTAACCTAAGTTTAGAAAAAAAAAGTGCAAACTCACCCAAAAGGCGCGCGTGGCGCACTAAATTTATTCCATGGTCGACGTTTGTCTCCTCTTGAACCAAATAGGGGCAATTAACATTAAAACCATGCCACAAACTTTAAGATGAAATCGGATAACCAAAAGAGCCGACCCGGAGTCGAGCAACGCCACACAACCTATGAGTTGCTGGCGGAAAAAGAGTAATAAGAACAAAACCCACAGCCTTGTTCGGGGTCGTGGAGTGAGAAACACTGAACTAGCCTACTATAAAAAAACACTTGAACCATTGATCATGAGTCGTGACACTCGCCCGGTGGAAATAGTCACGGCTCAACCTCCCTCCCCAAAAGAGGACACTCCTCTCCAAAAGGGACAAACAAACAAGCCTCTCCCCCACTTCCTGAAAAGAGATTGACCTGAAAGACAACTCAAGTGTCTGTGGTGGGGAACGCCAAGGGACTTCCAAACTGAGGGGAAAACTCACCCCCAGGGTTTGCTCTGGCCAGAGCTGGAAAATTTTGTGAGGGAAATTCCTTCGCAGAACACAGGGGACAGGAGAAGTGATCAGGTTCTCTGGCCCAGTGCACTTCCCACCCAGACACAAGAGGAAAGAAAATTGCCTACGGAAGAGTTCCGCGGAAGGGCTTGAGATGAGAAATGTGCGCCCTCCGGAACACTTTTCCAGTCCGCGGATCTCCAAGCTCCGCCGTGACAGGCGTCAAAAACCTCAGGAAGCGGTGGGGACCTGACCACCGATGACACAACTTTGCAGCTCTCTTGTCCACAGCCGAACTGGCTGGATGAGCTTTACAAAACACCAAATCCCCCACCTGGAAAGGGTTGTCTACTCTACCACGATTGTGCTTCCTCCGGACCAATTCCCTAGCTCTGATCAAGTTTCTCCTGGCCGCTTGCCAAGTTGCCTTGACATCAGCCGCACCAGGAGGTGGCAGAAGGTCGCCAATTCCCCACACATTCGCTAACGGGTTGTTAGGCGGATAGCCTAGAAACAGCTCGAAAGGGACCGCCTTGTGACTCTCATGGTGAGCAGTATTGAAAGCAAACTGAAGCCAAGGGAGTTCCTGATCCCAGGTGGTCTGCTTGTCAGCATGGAAAGCTATGAGAGCGGAACGAAGATTGCGATTGAACCTTTCAGCATG